ATGATATATATGCTGACTGTTGGTTCCTTGCCTCTTGAGCCGATGTACTCCAACTTCGAACGAAGCTCCAAAATAGTCGACTCTAACTACATACTTCTGGATAGGCCGTGGGTCTATTCTTGTTTTTCACACAATGGGGCCCAGGAACTAACTTCTGAGAGAGTTGCACTGCCCGCAAACTCGGTGACTCCAGCGACGACACCCAAATGGTCTATGCCAAATATTATCTACGTTAATCTAATGAGGCAATCCGAAAGAGAAACTCACGATCTTCAGTTCGTGAGGCAAATGATGTGACTTCTCCACATAGTCGCACCCCTCCCCCACACCCCCCCCCCCCCCCCAACCTCCTTCCCACTTTCCACTCGTTTTTCATTAGAGAAGTTAGCTGGTAGTTTTTTTTAAAAATTCACATTTGTCGCGCACTAGGATCTGATGTTCACTGCGTTTTTTTTTTTAAACCGTTCTCCTTGTTTGTGTACGACGGTATGAAAGTCGTACCATGGAAGAGATTTCAGATCTCATCATGTAATATTGTTCCCAAAGACAGCAGCGGGTTATTTGTATCTAACTTTCACCCCCCCCCCCCCCCCCACCCGCCACTTTTCCTCCTCCAACCCAACTAATATGTACAATATACAAATTACAATGTAAGTCTTTCCTCAGTAAGGTGTGCTATAGACAACTCTATAGACAACATAGAGGTTGTTAAATTCAACACTAAGCTGAAGACTATAAATAAGAATAGGGTACCGTGAACTAGCGAGATCAGAAGACTTAAGTATAAGAGGTCATACAGACTAACCAGGTGGTTGTTTAGGATGTGATGAAGAAGCTCAAAATATCAACACACACACACACACACACACACACACACACACACACGGACACACAATCACACACAATGTTGAATGTTAAATTAAGATTCGACATCATGGCATTCGGGACACTCCCATAAGCGCTCCGTCCCCATCTTCAGCAGCAAGCGAAGAGTTCTAATTCCGATGGCACAAGTAGCTGATTGTTTATCTGTCTCCCCTATCGGCTAGATCCCTTGGTAAGTCCTCACAACGCCATTCACCTCAGACCGTAATGATCTATCTGTGCCTCAGCACTGTTCACTCGCTGCCGAAGGGCCCTGACAGCATCTAGCCTGGCATACATCAGTTCACTACCAAGTGGTGCATAACCGGTCAGTCTATCTGCATGCTCCTTTCCCAACATATCGCCATGACCTGGAGAACATATTCACAGGATACTGGATTTCTGAAGTGTTGCTTGCCGCTCTGCACGGAGCATGACTGTCCCTACCTTTCTCAGAAGTTTGAAGTTTGAACAATTGATCAACATCACTGCACATGGGTAGTAACTTATAAGTGCTCTGTTCTTCTGCTAAGTACGAAAAACGCTCGGCTTCGTAGCACCGGCGAGGATCCTAAAATACTTTGGGTAGATTTTCAACTTCAAATTTTGCCCGGGCAGCGCTTTTAGGCTACTCTTTGCAATTTCCAAATGCCAATGGATTTTTTACGTGTGCAACAATACACTCCAATCTCACTACCCAGAGAGCAGGGAAAATTACTAGTCGACGTGAAAAAAATCCCAGCCCCACCGGGGCCTGAACCCAGGACCTCTAGCACACGTGGCGGACACCATACCTCGAGACCACTCAGTTCCCTCCCCCCCTTTCCACCCTCACCTTTCTCAGAATGATTTGTGAGTCGGTTACAGTCACAGAACACACACACACACACACACACACACACGCACGCACATAGCTGATAAATGCGTTTTTGGTATCGACATTGTGCTGCCAATACCAGACATTGACAGCCCATATAAGATAAGAGGTAAAAGAAATGCGGGGGGGGGGGGGGTGAGGACATGAAGAGACAGAGTCACCAACGTATAACTAAGAAAAATGGTAGGCGAAGTACAGGCAAATGACTTCATAGAAGATCAAATAGTTGTTCATTTAGTCAGAATAGAACAAAACCCAGCCAGCAGCAAACCAGCCAAGAAAGCGATGGATGGGAAGGAGTGAAAAAAAGCACTACGGAAACACAGTATGACACTGACACAAGCTATGCAACTAGCAAAGGGCAGAAAACTAGATCTAACTTCTCTCTGTGACGCATTACGGCGTAAGCCGTAGGTCAAAAAGTTGAAGAAGATAATGACAATGGTGATGTAAGACCATCCGTTTAGAAATGTCGATACAGTATTGTTTGAGCTGCAAAGCTACATTACAGCTGTTTAAAGGCCACCTTCTAATGTTTTTTGCTTGTTTTGGGGTTATTAAATTGTTTAATGTTTTCGCTAAAAGTTAAAAAAAAAAAAAATTAGACGTTCTGGCAAACATATGCTGGATTAGATTCCAAACACGTTATTAAAAATTTTTTTTGTATATGACAGAGAGGTACTGAAGAATTGACTGCAGGCCCTACATCACGTATAACGACAAAATAGATAATAAACGAACATATAATCAAACATTTGAATTTGTATGCAGTCAGACTACAAATATGTAAAACCTAAGCAGCGTTACACAGGTAAAACATACCTTCTCTGAAGCTGAAAAAGACGTCATTATAAATCAGGTCGGTTACAGGGAGACTAAACCAAAATGAGAGACTTACATAAGATGTTCCAATTTATAAGCTGACGCACACCGTCTCCTGTTGAATGAACACACATAAAACCAAAACCAAACCAAGAGCCCTGAGCCAAGACAGCGGGTGTCCGGGTAATATCGGGGGACAGGTACACGTCTTTCATCTGTCAAAGAGATTGCATTTAGTTTATGTAATCACTGTGGCCTATATTGCTTGTAAGGTGAATGTGTTATCTTTGAAATAATACGTACTGGGAATTTTTTTTTTTTATGTGGCTCTAATGAAAACAGGTTATGAAAACAAACTACCCCATACAGTACCGGGTCAGTGATCGTGAATTTATTAGTTCTTCCATAGACGACATGCTTTTCGTGCCTCCTTGAGTCTTATAAAGTTGTTAATTTAATCTCTAAATTCCAGTTATTAATTAATAACTCAGTTACAGTTGTTACCTCAACCTCCATAAATCCCATGTGTTACTTTAATCTCACTCAATCCCAGCTTCTCTAAAATTGATCATGGATAAGGGTTGCTCACCGTCTCGAAGAGTCGGCCAGTAAAACTGGAGCGCATACCGAATGAAGCTATACGGGTGATCCTGGTATGTACAAGAGACACCATTGTTGTGTGCATGCGATAATTGCTGACTATTGTAAGTAGGCTAAAGGTGGTGCTGGCTAAGTCATACCTCAGAGAAGCTGCAAACAAAGAGCACCCTCCGCATGAAGCTTTTGATGCAGTTAAGGGTCAAAAGCTGAAAAAAGGGAAAATCATGGATGGCTCAAGCAGAAGACACCATAAGTCAAGCATGCATGCTGAAGAACATTGGGCGAGGAGAGGAGTGGGTCAGAGTACCAGAGGGAAAGTCTGACCTATGTAGGGTCATGATCACATTATCCCGGGAGTGCAGAGAGTGGCCAGCAGGGGCTACAGAGGTGGAGGTCCAACAGTTGATTTACCACAATTCTTTTCCAGACGATCTGATTATCTATACAGATGGTTCGGTGTTGGCAGGAAAGAGAAGTGGAGGTTCATAGCTAAAGCCAATAAAAAATCGTTAGTGCAGGACAGCCTAGCATACGACACCACAACATATAGCATGAGAATGGAGGTGGAGGCGGCTAGAGAACAAGATGCATACATGTGTCATAATTGTAACAGATTCTGAAAGCATGCTGAGAAAGTAAAGCCAGGGGTGCTTCAAACAGAGTGGCAAGTTTTACTTGGAAGGTTACGGGTAGTGAGCATATTTTGGGTCTTTTCTCCAGGCTATGCCGGCATGGTGGGGAATAAACAGACAGACAGACAGACTGGCTGGATCTGCACCACAGAGTGGTAAATTGATATATGACAAGTTATATGTCGTCAGGGCACTTCGCGGAAAAAAAACGAAGTCAGAAACGAAAATGGATTATTATTGCCTGGAGAAAATAATGCACCTGGGTGCGACCAGAGGGTCTGACCGGCTCACTACACTCAGAGGAAATGCGAGACGGACATATATACCAGATTAAGACCCGCAACATTAGTATTGGTGCTCTGCATTGGATACTGAAAATGGGGATGGAGCGCGTGTTACATCGCTCAATCCCAGCTGTAACATTAACCTCACATAACCCATGCTGTTACATTACCCTCACTCAATCCCAGTTATACATTAGGCTCACTCAACCCCCAGCTATTACATTAACCTCACTCACTCACCGTTATTAGTTTTTCCTCACTCAGTCTCACATGTAAAATAACCCACACTCAATCCTAGTTATTACATTTAACATGACTCAGTTTCTAGCTGTTACATTAACCTCACGCAATCCCAGTTATTACATTAATCTCACTGTTACACCGACTTCGCTCAACCCCACATGTTACATTAACCTTACTCAATCCTAGCTGTTACATTAACAACACCCAGTCACTCAGCCCGACACATCCGATTACAGCAAAACCCCTAATCAGTCACCTTCTACGAAAGGTATGGGGGCAATGGGTGACAACCACCCCCACCAGCCCCCCCCCCCCCCCCAACAAAAATGGGACCCCGAGATCACTATATTCTGTAACAAAACGTTGCACCGGGTAATTTTCAGTAAATAAGTTGCATTGGAAAGCAATGGCAAACTACTGAACGTAAAATTTGCCTAGGAAAACAGCCAAAAAATGATGGAGTTGGTTCTTCAACGTCCTGTAAATGACACGCAACTAAGAGAAAAGAAACTAAACTGAAGCTACAGAACTACGGAGCGAACCAAACGGATGTTGTTCAACATGGCGGCAAAAACAAACATCTAGACTTGTCTGTCTATCGTTAAAACGTTTTCCACATTGTTGATATAATTTTATGTAACCTTTGTTTTGTAAATCTTGTGTTTATATTTTTAAGAAATGAAACGATCAGCGGCACCAAGTCAGATTGGCACAGCCGGTGAGGCTAAACGTCAAAAATTTGTATCGCCTGCAACTCGACCGTATGGAACTGATGAAAGTGAAAGAAGTCGACCGTGTCTAAATCAAATAATTGGACATTCTGCTTTGAATTCGTCAATGATACGCCAGCCAGTGAAGAATGTTTCATTACAAGGTCCGTTAGCGACTTCCCACCAGCGAGTGCCGCGTTTATTTAATAATGTTATTCGAAATGTTGATGCGAACAATATTTTGTCATGTCAAAATGATAGTAGTTCAGTGAAAGAGAAACAGAAACGTCAGCAGCCACCAAACTCACCAAACTATGGACAGGTGTCATCGCCTAGGTATGTTAACAGGTAACAGTTTGGCTATCCTCCGAAAAAGGGTCGTAAATTATCGGAGCTGAAAATATACCCTAACAGGGCCTCAGTTCCGTCGTCTTGAAATGTGAGCTTCCGGCGACTTCTGCCGTCGCCACCGAATTGCGAACTTTCAGCAACCTCCGCCACAGCTGAGAGCATCCCCCACACCTCTCACACGGCGTGGATTGGGGCTTAACTAGATGGCTAGGACTCATGAGCAGCAGCTACCGCATCTCCTGCAGCTTCCTTTATTTTATTTGCTGGTGAGTCCTAGCCATTCTCGGCGGTGGCGGAGGTTGCCGAAAGTTTGCAATTCGGCGGTGGCGTTATAGTCCCCGGAAGTGCGCAATCGACAGGTGACTGAGGCCCAGTAAGGGTATATTTTCCGCCCCGATAATTTACGACTGTTATTCGGAGGATAGCTGGAATTAAACATAGATATAAGTGTCCTAGATATATTAGTTATATAAATCCTACTGGACGTGAGCAGCACCTGCTGGGGAAGAATGGTGGAATCAGTACACTGAAGGTTTCGGGTATACACATATATAATGGAGGTACAACGTGGAATTTAGTAAATATTTATGCTGCTGTTGACTTTTTTGGCACAAAGGAACACTGGGACTGGCTTAAAGAGTTGTGGAGGAAATCCCTGGTAATAGGCTTCTCATTTGTGGCAATTTCAGTGCACAGAGCAGAGCATGGGACAGTACTGGGTAAAAAATACAAGGAAATTCTTTAGCAGAGGCTATGGTAGATGCAGACAAAGTCTGAATAGTCTGTATAAAAATGATAATTATTTTAAAGATCTTATTAGGATAAAGGATGTAAAATATATATTGTAAAAAAGTTAAAGACACTGTGTCAAGGCAAGACGGAGTCAGAAGTGCCCACTTGAAGAGCATGAGTGATGAATACTTGAGGGAGATGGCATTTGACTTCAACTAGGATTTGGTATTCAACTACCTAATCCCACTTCCAAAACTAGGCAAAGATCATTCCAGACTCACCGGTTTCAGGATTATCACCCTACAAATGCTTTTGGCAAGGTGCTAGAGAAGATCATTGTTGTTAAACTACAAATGTTTTGGGAAAGGCAAGAGCTCCTACCAGAAGGTTTGGGTAGTTACCGGCCATGGAAAGATACCTGGTCAAATGCAGCTAATTTTGCTTTTGATGTTTTTGGAGTGTTTCAAAAAGACAGGAGACGGTAGTCTCAGCACTTAATCTTGAGGATGCCTACAATAGAGTTGGACATACGGGTTTGTCCCTGGCTGGTGAACTGGATAGCAGCTGTCCTGCATTCACATATGGTTGCCCTTTGCCTGAGTACATGGACCTCAGAACCATGTAATATCACCCCTGGACTACCCCATGGTTCTGCAGTTTCACCAGTGTGCTTCAGTGTGTATACGGGCACGATTGAAGAACTTAAAGCACCAGGTTTTGGAAGGATATTGACATTTGCAGATGATGCTCTTTCATATAGGCAGGGGAGTGATAGGCAACAGACAACCCAAGAGCTACAAGCAACTGTAGACAAAGTGACTGACTGGTGTGCAGATATGGGTGCTGTCATTAGCTAAAAAAATTTGGCTGTTTTGTAGAATTGTAAGAGCTATAGTTCCAAGCCTCACAATTAATGACAAAAGAGAAATCATACTGAGGTACCCAGGTATAATTTTGGATAGAAGCCTGTCCTTCAGGGATCATGTGGATGCAGTTGCTGTGAAATACCAGTAAGGACTCAGTGCTTTGTGTAGAGTGACAAGCATCGCTTCAGATGTCCTAGGTAGTTAGCGTCCTTTGGATATTTTGTCCAGGTCAGGTCAGTTTGTTGAGAAACGAGCAGGTGGATAGACTGGCAGGTTCTGCACCACTTGGTGGTTAATTAATGTGTGACAAGCTAAACGTTGTTAGGGCTTTTCTGGCATTTTTATCATAACTATAAATATTTATTATGTCTAGAAATACCTATTACAACAATAAATGAAATAGTCACTTCTTAGTGTAATTTGTTTATGAACATTTCTTACAATAGTTTCATGCACATATGTATTGCAGGTCACAAGATGAAATATTTCAAGACGATGTTCCAACAATATCTGCCTTAGCCAGTAATAATTTGGAGAAAACATTTCTGTGTCAGTCACCACAGATTCAAGGAAATATGCCATTTACCGATGCAGACGAAAACCAATACTTGGCCTCGAAATTAGAAAAGCGTTAACTGAGATGGTAGGGGCGACGCCTTTATTTTCTAAGTCCCTTATAAAATTCATTTATCCATTTTTAAATATGAATGGACGGAATATCTTTCACAGCTAATTGAATCTGGGAATCTTTTTTAAGCCGTGGCAAATATTTTTCCCAGACGGTGGCCGTTGCATTTTTGCTCCATTTGTAGACTGGAAGGATGTAGTTTCGTCGCCCAGCTTCTGAGTTGAGTGCATGGCGTGACACTGTGAGCTGCGTTTGTTTTTTTCGTTTATTAGCTATGAAGCTGAAACTGGATTTATTACAACAATAAATGAAATAGTCACTTCATTTGTTTATGAACATTTCTTACAATAGTTTTCATGCACATATGTATTGCAGGTCACAAGATGAAATATTTCAAGACGATGTTCCAACAATATCTGCCTTAGCCAGTAATAATTTGGAGAAAACATTTCTGTGTCAGTCACCACAGATTCAAGGAAATATACCATTTACCGATGCAGAAAACCAATACTTGGCCTCGAAATTAGAAAAGCCTGAGATGGTAATTTATTTTCTAATTTATAAAATTCATTTATCCATTTTTAAATATGAATGGAACGGAACGTATCTTTCACAGCTAATTGAATCTGGGAATCCTTTCTTTATTATAGTGGAGATTCTCACAGGCACCCTGTAGGTTCTAGGGCCCCATTTTCGGGGGGAAACAAGAACAGATAGCCCTCTGACACACATGCTATAAACTTTAACTAATTTGGTGTTTGCTAAAATTGGATGTGTTGAAAAGATAGACACATATTTTAGCTTAGCTGTTAACCACAAGACAACATGATGACCTCCTTTTTTTAAGGGTAACACAGAAGAAGATGAAGCTGCAGCAAAAACAGAAATAGATTCCCACAGCAGTGTAGATCTAATATTGCTGGTTTTTTTCTTTCAGTAAATCATTACCAAAGTTCAAAATCATTTCTTAATATGGTTATCTAATCTGCCTGATATGCAGAAGTTATTGGGTTCAGACCCTAGCTACTTTTTTGGGGGGGGGGGGGGGGGGGGGGGCTGCTTAGTCCCAAGGCATGGCATCCGCCTCGAGTGCTGGAGGTCCCAGGTTCAGGCCCCGGTTCAGGCTAGGATTTTTTTCACATGGACTTCTATCAATTTTCCCTGGTCTCTGGGTAGTAAGACCGGATGCCCATGTGTATTGTTGCGCACATAAAAATACTTTGGCAGTTGTAAATCGAAAAAGATTAGCCTAACAACACTGCCCTCGCAAAATTTGGAGTTGAAAATCTACCTAAAATATTTCAGGATCCTCGCCGGTGCTTCAGAGTTCGTGCACTGCGCTAAGAATCTTCAGACTCACGCTTGAGTCGGAAGTAGAACGGAGAACTTATGGGTTACTACCCTTGTGCCCTGATGTTGATCTGTCACCTAAACCTAATGCCAAAGTATTTACTGTCTGCACCGGTAAAAGTAATAATCTATTAGATACTGAGAAAAGGATATGAAATGATAAGACCTAACATTTTCAAGGTAACAGTAAAATGTCATGACCATCTTTGTTTCTCGCCACAGTAGATTTGCTTTTCTAAATGGACAGATAAAGTAATTTTAGGTGGCATAGTGTTACAGTTATGAGAAGCCTAGTACATGTGAAAACTATAGCTTGACGAAAATAGAGAGCCATTTCTATATTTGTTGGTATATGACACAACTTGGGAAGTTCGCAGCCACCCATAAATATCATGCAACTTCTGTTTCACAACAGTAAGTGGCTCATGAGTTTACACTCACAACCTGTCAACACGACATGGATGCTTGTGTGTTACCCAAGTTTCACCCAGCCCTGGCTTCATTAACTCTTAATACATCACAATAAATTTTGCATGAAAAAGTAGCATAAGAAGTAGCTGTTGACGGCTCCAGTGATAACTTATGGATGAACTTGGCTTACCAGGATTTGTACATGTAGAATTCTTATCCTTGAGGTGTTAATCCGGTTGACTGCAATCCTGGAGGAGAGCAGAACAAGGAGAGAAGAATGTGTACTGAAGTTTTTACTTCTTTTGTGAACACCCTTAAAGGGTGGTTGGAACACTGTTTTGTGGATTACATCAAGACTGCGATATCTGCACTTTTGGACCCAGCACATATGAGTTCCGCAAAAACCTGAATTAGTTGTCTTTTACAAGGTGTTTGCTAGGTGGCAGGGAAGTCATCATCATCATGTAGGAGGTCCTTTGCAGAACGTCGCTCTCATCACGGTCTGCCTGAAAGAAACTCGGTCTCTCGCCAGCTCTCCAGCCTCATGAACTTTCACACTCAAGGAGTCACTTATATCTTATGCCCATCTTCGTGTTGGTCGGCCCTTCCCCTCCTTCCTGGTACCATGCCTTCTGCTATAATTTTTTTCAATCCATCGTGGCGCTTAATATGACCAAAATATTTCAGCTTCTGAGACAGGATGCTGTTTATTAGCCAATCTTCCTTGATGTTCAGATCTTTCAAGATGTCAGTATTTCTCCTCTTTTTTGTCCAAGATATACTGAGAATCTCTCTATATCTTTTCAGCTAAAAAGCCCCTATTCTCTTTCTTAAGGACTGGGAGATAGTCCACGACTCACAGCAGTATGTTGCTACAGGGAAGATGCATGCTCTCAAAATCCTAATTTTGATCTCCTTGCTGGTGCTTAACCATAGACTTTTTAGGCTGTTTAATCTTTGCATTGCTATGGCATTCTCCTTTTAATTTCTGTCAAACAGTCTCCTTGCTATTTATTATAATAGTGCCTAGATATTTGAAGTTTGTCACATTTTCAATTTCTTCACCATTGTTATTTTTGGGTGACGGCCAGTTTTATCTGTGGACATTATTTTTGTTTTCTTCAAATTCAAGAACTGATTTTGATCTTTACTGTGCTTTAGTACAGACAATATTATATTTTCTATTCCCTTTACACTGTTCAAAAGGAGGACTGTGTCATCTGGATACGAAGTTCCGGAATAGTGTTGCCACCAATTTTGAGCGGATCATAACTGTCACAAGTCTGGTCATTTTTGACATTTCTCATTATATTTTCTGCGTATATATTGAATAGGTATGGTGAGAGAATGCACCCCTGCCTCACTCCCATTTGCACCTCGAACCAATCCGATGTTTCACCAGCTGCTCTGATGGCTGCTTGTTGTTCTTGATAAAGATTTTCAGTTAAATGCACTAAATGCGCTGGAAAACCCATACTTCTCATAATAGTCCAGTTTCTGATGTTGTACACAATCAAAGGCAGTTGAGTACAAGAGTTTAAAAAATAATTATATATAATCTATCTTAATCATGTCCTAGAATTCAACAAGGGATTTTCATGAAAGTTGAAAGAAGACAAAATAGAAGATGGAAAAAAAGGGGGGGGGGTGTGGGTGGGAGAAAACAGTTTTAAGTACTTTCTAGCAGCTTACTGACTTTTTTTCAAATAAAATGCCATTTATTTTGTGCTTGCTATTGTTTTAGAAGCTTCTTTGAGCTACTAATTTACCAGAATACCGGCTTTTATATGTTTTTTTCTCCAGATAACATCAGGAGTAGCAGATGTATTTGACAGGAATACTATAGATCTGTTTTCTGGTGAAGTCGCCTCTGGTCATGCTCTAGGTGTTCGGCTCCACCACGGGAATCATAGCCACATGACATCAGATAAAGCATCCTCAGTGCGTTATTTTAGTGTTGTTTGGTGCAAGATGTCAAAAAAGAAGCATAAGAAATGGGAAGGTGATGGTGAGTAATATCCGTTTGGCAGACTTTGCTCTTTAAATAGATGTTGTTGTGGCTGCTGCTGATCCACCGAGCAGCAAGCTACCTTATGACAAAGCAGACTTGGTGAAGGCCGGCTAGAATCAAAACAATAAATCTTCAACCCTGTACGGGTTCCGGGGCCCTTTTATAGGGAAAACAAGAATAGACCCACTGCTTACCCAAAGGCATGTCATAAGAGTTGACTGTTTGGGAGCTTCCTTTGAAGTCGGAATGCATCTGCCTGAGAGGCAAGGAACCAACAGTCTGCACACAGGTGTGTCAGATCTGTCAAACTGATGCACATGCAACACTCCGGTTCTTTTACAGGACTGCAGTCCAGAAGTGGATGAACAATCTGAAATTTCCACCAGAGTTTACAGCTGGTGAACGTAAAGAAGAAAAAGAATAAATCTTTAGACTCAGCCTTATTATCATCCCACATGTTTTACAGAAATGTATAAAACACAATCAATTTTGTTCCCATATTTCTGCTTGATTCTCTGTTGTATATTTTTTCATTTTCTGTGTTTGATCCTCTATGTTTTTTTTTTTCTCTGCCCCATTCTCATTTTTATATGTTCCTAATGAATGCTCTAATTTAAGTGTTTCTTAATTATCTGTTTTGTATTTTGCTATTTAATTATCTACTCTACATTTTTCTACTCGATTTTGTAATCTACATTTTCCTACTTGTATGTTTCTTGTTGATGCTCTACTTTGTATGTTTTTCAGATGAAGTAAATTTGAGTATCCTTATGTTTCAGCTGTACTCACTACATCAGGAAGGACAGTCACACTGTATGATATGGATGGGAAAGTGTAAGTTTTAAGGGTTGTTCTTTATGTTTGTGTTTTGGTTACTAGAATCATTGTCTCTATATCTAAGAACCAACCACTCAGTGTCTTGGTACTCAGGAACCACTCATTTGTGATCTCTCACCGTGAGCCGACATCAGGGAGTAGAGACTTCGATTTTTTCCAGAGCACACAAATTGTGATGTGCCTATCTTATCCCTACTGATATATGTATGTAACTCAGAGATTTACTTGTAGCATTTTGTTTGTATTGTGCAGCAATTCATATCTGTGTGTATGGATGGATGGATGGATAGATATATTAATGGGTGAATAGATGACAGAAAAATAGAAAGTAGTTTTGCCAATGTTAAGCTAAAGCTATAAGAGGTGTGTATATTTTTATGGTAAAGAAAACACATTGATGGAGTTAGTAAGAGCAGTGTTACATCTTCTTCTGTAGACGTGGCCCATTTCATGATCCTAATTAAATGTGTTGATACTTTTATGTCATAAAAAGGTAGTATATTCCTTTGATTCTTGGATAGCAGACCTGGCATCTTGTCTTATCGAACAAGAGTATAAACACCCAGACTCTGACTGCTATTGACATAAGCCTTGAAAGAAAATCAGATTTCAGACCCAAGCAGGTCCCTGTGTGGATTCCAGGGCCCCGTTTTGGGAAAAACCCACTGTCAACAAGCATGTTGTAAAAGGCCACTTTGGAAAACAGACACTGGATATAACCATGACAAATATTTTTACAAGCATTTGAATAGAATAGATCAAGTCACCATATTTCACTTCGGCACTGGTCTTTGTTGACTCAACAAGCATATATATTTATGTATACACACACACACGAAATATAATATATTTTATATATATATATATATACACAAAATATAGTATTATATATATACACACACAAAATATATATATATATATATATATATACACATATATATATATATATATATATATATATATATATATATATATATATATATATATATATATATATATATATATATATATATATATATATATATATATATATATATATATATATATATATATATATATATATATATATATATATATATATATATATATATATATATATATATATATAGGTGAGGTGAGACATCAGGTCTCACTTTGTGTGTGTGTGTGTGTGTGTGTGGCTAAAAGGGGATGGAACAACAGGTCTCTGTCAGTGTCCTCATGTTGAACAGACTCCAGAATTTGTCTTGCAAGACTGTTCTCTCCTTGAAGACCTGTGGAAAACATGTAACCTCACCCAGTAGACCTAACAAATAAGCTTTGAGAAACCTAAGACCTCAAGCTGACACCCCAGTTTATGGTTCATGTTGAATAAAGTACATGCCCAGACATCATAGAAGAAGAAGTAAAAGGCATCTAATTAATGGTTTGCTGAAATGAGATGAGTTGGGCCAGAAGGTGCGGATGTCGCAGCCCAGTTGTAAATTACAACACAGTGTGCCAAGTGCCTTTTCAGGGCAAGCACAAAAGAAGATATGATCAGATGAATCTGCTGGCACTGGACTAACTAGCTTGGTGATAATGATGAATGTGATTATGATTCAGTCAGTCAGGTGCCGTCTCCACAGTGAAAGTGTGCTGCAATGGATCTCCAAATCACTGTGTCACTTGTCCTGGTTGTACACTTTCTCAGACTGCTGCTCATCCATCTCTTGATGTTGTCCTTCCACTTGTATCGTTGCCTACGTCTTGCTCTCTTGCCTTTGACCTTACCTTCCAGTATGGTTTTTAAAAGTGTGCTGTCTTTCAATGTTGCCCAGACATTTCCGTTTTCTGATTATGATTCAGAAGTATTTTAATTCTTACTGCACAGATTAGGTAAAGGTACAGGATACAAAACAACTGAGCTTGAGGCTCTGGCGGAAGATGGGACATTATTTGTTGGAGGAAAAGAAATTCAGGTAAGTGCCTGACCATTTGCACTTATACAAGAATCCTTAAAGGCTAGAGGTTCAATTTCACTGTATCAGGTTTTTATCCCATATAGCTTGGTCGTCGCTGAGTTAGTTTCACAAAGCACAAAACTAGCCCTAGTGAAAATCCCCATATATCTGCACAACATCTGCACTCTCAAATTACAGGATGGGTGTCTGAAAGCAAACCCATGGTCCTCAGGGCATGAGGCTAATGGCTGAACAACTTTTTCTTGGGGGATGTTTTTTTCTGTTGCATTTTCAACATTTGTTTTAGTTTTCATTGGTGTTTAAAGTCAAGCCATTTAATAACGAGACAGATGTTATTACAAACATGGCAAAAACACCATCCATGAAGTGGAGCATATAATCCAAAGTGGCACCATTAATCTATGATTCTACACAATGTTAACACCGCCCTGTCAGCAGACAACAAGTACCCTGCCATTTTTTTTTGCAAATGGGAGTTGCATGGTTACATATGGAGCAGCCATTGAATACTGAATTATGTTTTAAATTGGGATTTGTGCCCCTGAGGCAGTTGCATTGTTTCCATAGTGCAAACTATATACCATCATCCAAAAACCATGATAACGTTTGTTTGTTTTTCCAAATAAACCATCCACTTCAAAAATCAAAACTTAGTAATAGATAATCATGAAACTGTTAAACTTATTGACTGACCTCCAAGCTACAGAGCCACATTATTCCCATATGCTGAACTCCCAAAGGAGCTGCAGTGGCATAGTGGCTAGTTTGCTTCCATCCCTATCAAGACAGTGGTCCAGGTTCATACCCCTCCCTTCAAAAAGCAGGATCCCCACCCCCCTCACCCACCCACTCCAGCCCCTCCCCAACTAGTACAGCTCTGATGTTGACCCTTCCTAATTAAAATGGATCTTCTTCTTCTTTTTCTCTTCCACCATTTACCTCAGCGAGGTGTTATCTTTGTGGCAGTTGGTATCAGGACATTCTCGTCAGAAGGCCATACCATCTCATTTGTTGTTCTTTAAGAAATTGACTGGTTTCAGTCATAATCTTCTTCTAATTTCTTCATTCGTGATTTGATCTCTTCTTCTTAGACCTGCAGCTGTCCTAAGACATCTCATCTCTGTTGTTATGATCTTCCACTCATAAGTTGTAATAATGGTCCATGTTTGGCACTGGTAGCACAATGTCGGCATAAAAAAAAACATTCTTCTGAGATTTGCTTTGGTTGACAGAGGTATCTTTCTATGAGTCAGAAGTGGTGTTAATTGTCCCATAACCTGACTTGCTTTCCCACATCGCATGTTGATTTCTCTATTCATTCTTCTATCTGAATTAAAGTAAAAATGGATACCAAACAATTTTCAGAATTTTCTGAGTGGGGAAGATAATAAGGAACTTATCTCATTATTTCATGACCTTAAATATATAAAGACTTAACACTTCTTCTTCTTCTTCTTCTTCTTCTTCTTTTTCTTCTTCTCTTCTTCACTTCCTCTTTTACCGCTGTGGGTGTCGAGGGAGATATAAGGTTCTGTTTCTAGCTCTTCTGGCTGCCTCGACCATAGGCACATCGTGCTGTTGTAGAGTTTCTCTGATGTTATCCTTCCATCTTGTTCTTGGTCTTCCCCGTGCTCTACGTCCTTCTTCTCTTTCCATGTATGCTTTGTATGGAATGGTGTCACAAGGCATTCTCTCTAAGTGTGCAAACCATTTCACTTGCTGTCTTTGTATGTAATCCAGAATTGGTTCTGTGCCGACTTAACACTTCACTATACAAAAACAGTATCTAATGTCAGAACTTTTAACCTTTAGACTCTTCTGTATTTAGTGTTATTTCTTCCCTGTGTGGGTTCCAGCGCTCGAGTTTGAAGGGGAGGGGGGGGGGGGGGGTGAGGGTGTAGGTTTACTGCATCCTAATTAACTCACAGCATCTGTCAGTCCCTGGGAAACAGCATCTGCTGTGACTGTAAAGTCTGATGCGGTAGTGGCAGTCTCTGCCACATAGAATGCACAAAAAGGTAGATATTTCCTCGCTATGAGGCCGATTTTTCTCTCTGGCATCTCCTCTCTATAGCTCGCTGCCTTTGGGTTTTTTTCAAATGCGACAATCCGTCTTTCACTTTCTGTCACAATAGTAGTTGATCTGCAGCTGATTTTTCCCGTCTCTGTGCCGATGTTGGTATCTATCAAGTCACGTTTGCATGTCTTTTCAATGTAGCTTTGGCCTTCCTGTAGGTTATTCCCTGTTTCCAGTTCACTATACAGAAGGTCTTTGGATTACGACCATCCTGCATGTGGGAGACATGTCCAAGCCATCGCAGACGTATTTGCTTTAGTAGACAGTACATTGATGGAATTGTTGCTCTTGTGAGTAGACACTCATTGGAGACAAGGTCTCGCTATGATATACCAAAAATGCGTCTCATACAGCACATGTAGAAGGTATTCAGTCTTTTTTCTTGAGGAGTATATAGAATCCAGGATTCGCTGCCATACAGTAAGTATATGCTCAAGACACAAGACACGTAAACTTTCATTTTGGTTTTATCAGCTTTTCATTTGACCAGACTCTCATAGTGAGATTTGAAAACATTGCAGAGGTCTTTCCTATACGACTAGTTATCTCTGCATCTAAGGAATGACTGCCTGAGATTTGTGAGCCTATGTACTCAGACTCATGTACAGCCAACAGCTGATGGTCACAAACACTAATGTTTGGTGTGTTTTCAACATTTATTCCCATCACTTGCCTTTTGTCGAGACTGATGGTAAGCCCAAATTCTTTGCATGCATTTGCAAAGCGATTCATGAGGATCTGCAGATTATCATCTGTATGTGCCACAATGGCTGCCTCATCCACAAAAAAGAAAATCCCTGAGGTATCTTGTGTGCACCTCCATCCTTGCACATAGCCTGGACAAATTAAAAAGATCGCCATCTGACCTCAAACGGAGATATATTCCCTCAGGGGCTATCTTCCGAAAAACGGTCCGAAATTATCGAGGCAGAAAATATACCCTAACAGGGCTTCTGTCAGGTGTCAATTGCGCTCTCCAGAGACTATACCACCACCGCCGAATTGCGAACTTCCGGGGACTATATCGCCACCGCCGAGAGTATCCCCCACGCCACGTTGACTCACGGGCAAATAAAATCAAGGCAGCTGCAGGAAGTGCGGTAGCTGCTGCTCATCCCAGCCATCTAGTTTAGCCCCAATCCACGCCACGTGAGCGTAGTTTAAGTCGCTGGCAGTGCGCAATTTACACGTGACTGAGGCCCTGTTAGGGTTTATTTTCTGCCTGTATAATTTGGGACCGTTAATTGGAATAAAGCCCCCTCAGGTGCTGTACCGAATGCACTCCTCAGCAATGCAGTAAAAAAAAGATGCCACACAATGTGGGAGCCAGAACGCATCCTTGCTTTACTCCGTTACGAATCTGGAAGTGTGAAAACAATGAATCCTTTATATTTTGGTTCTCTGCGTGTTCTTGTGGAAAGATTTAATTAGACTTAGTGGTATAGGTGGGCATCCATATTTATCAAGGATATTGAGCAGACCATCTCTGCTAACATAATCAAAGGCCTTAGTGAGATCTATGAAGGAAATAAGCAGAGGCCTCTGTTGTTCTCTACACTTCTCTTTGTAGCTGCCTGACAGAGAAGATTATATTAACTATTGATATCTGGGCGCTAAACCTACACTGTGATTCCACCTGTACTCTGTCCGCTAGAATTTGCAACCTCTTCAGGATAAAAGAGGTAAGGTCGGGAGATGTAAACAGGGTTATAAACCATAAGTGCTCTGCCACCAGTATGGACAGCTGATAAGAAACTGCCCGCCTGTGTTGCCATCCGCCAGATGTACCTCCATTTACCCCAGAGTGTTAACTCTGGTACACATTAGAGGCTGGCTGAACACCGGAAACTGCCCGGTTTCGAACACCGGCCATGGGCTGCAGCGAGTCGCTGCTGGTTTTGAAAGCGAGTCTCCTATTGACTGCGCTAATGGGGCCCCCTCTTCGGACTAACATGAGCAAAGACTTTTCCCATCAAGCTCAATAGGTTGATTGCGTGATAGTGGTTGCAGTCGCTTCTGTCTACTAATAAGTGTTTAGTAAAATGCGACTAATAAGGGGCTTTTAGAAACCGGGTATGTTTGCCTGATGGGGGCAGATATCACAGCCTAGCTGTCAGTCACAACACAATCTGTGAACTGCTCTTTTAAGATTGAACACAGAAAAGAAGAAAATGTTATTTGTGAAAGTTCTTTTAAAGTTTTATTTGTTTAATTGGGCAAAGCTACCATAATCATGTATGTATAATCCAGGTCATGTCGACACTAACAGAAGAGTACTTTAAGTCTGGAAAGTGTTTCACATCTGGCATTGAACCAACACCATCTTCTGAGGGAAGCTCAAGTCAGATCAGGAATCCTGGTGAGAAGGATGTACTATTTGTGTGCATGGGTTAAGTTGACAGCAACATGCATGCAACATCCAGGTCATATCAGTGCTAACAGAAGAGTAATTTTATTGTCGCAGATGTTTTGTATCTGACATTAAAGTAACACCCTCTTTTGATAAAAGCACAAATCAAATAATGAATCCTGGTAAGGAAGATGGTTTAAAAAAAAAAAAGTATAGATATCTTTTTATTAATAAAAAAATAGGCTCTCCTGTCAACTACGGCCGGTAGACAACAGTAGACGGCCGGTTAGTCGGAGTTCTGTCCCTTGGCTACAGTGCAATTACAGAGTGGAAAAGGAGGGAACGAAACAATTGACACAATTACTGTGTGTTGGCGATAGCATGCACTGCCCTGCTATCATCATACAGTTACGGTGTGGGTTAGGGTTTGGGTTAGAGTTAGGGTTTGGGTTAGGGTTAGCGTTGCGGTTAGTGTCGCCGCATCTCGTCTTCGCAGAAACTCAACGTAGCAACCCTAACCCTAAACCCTACCCCTAAACCTAACCCAAACCCTACCCCTAACCCAAACCCTAACCCACACCCTAACCGTATGATGACAGTAGGGCACTGCACGCTGTCTATCGCCAACACACAGTAATTATGTCACTTGTTTCCTTCCCTCTAATCCACTCCGTAATGCGTCGCAAGAAGCGGTAATTGAACGCGGTCGCTAATTTGAGTCGCAGCGCGGGTTCTGCCAGGCATTTCGACCTCACTTTGTTCTTTGATTCGTGCCTTCTCCAGTCCGTAATTGCACTGCAGCCAGGGGACAGAACTCCGACTAACCGGCCGTCAACTGTTGTCTACCGGCCGTAGTTTACAGAAGAGCCAAAAATATATGTTCATTCATTATACTGATACATTGGCATATGTTGAATGGTGTTGAGAGGGGGGGGGGAATTGTTATGAACACAGTATCATAATTCGGAAATACTATTGTTTTACGTCAGCTGCAAACAATTTAGCAGCAGACTGCTTTACATTGATTGTAATTCCTTGTGTGGGTTCTGGGGCCTCACTACGGAGAAAACAAGAAAAGACCCACTGCATGCCAAAAGCATGTCGTAGGAGTCGACTAATTGGGAGCTTCCTTCAAAGTCAGAGTGCATCTGCCTGTGAGGCAAGGAACCAACAGTCTGCAAGCAGATGAGTTAGAACTGTGAAACAGATGTGCACACAAGACTCAGTTACTGGGACAGGACTAGAGTCCATAAATGGACAAACAACCAGAACTTTCCGCCAGAGTTTACAGCCGGTAAACGCGAAGAAGAAGATTGATTGTGATAATGGTATGAACTCTGTACTGTTCAGAAAGCAATGGCAAACTACTGAGTTTTAAATTGTCTAGTAAAACCAAACGACATGTAAAAGCTGGTGGTTGATTTATGACACCCTGTGTAGAAAATACAATTAACTTTTATACTGATACAGTATCTTTAGAACAAAATCACTGTCTGTATGACATGATACAGCATCATGATTGGGACTGCTTTTCAAAGCACTGTGTCCTTATCTTTAGCAGCCAGCATATAGTTCCTATTCTAGTGATACTGATTGCAGTCCTGATTATAAATCTGTTTTATTTTTCTTTGAGAGCTGAGTGTCAGCTAGGTCCCCTGGTCACTTATTGTGTCTGAATCTTACTATTTACAGGCATGTCAAAACCATTTATAAAACCTGCATTAAAATCTGGACACGCTAATATGGTAAGTGTTCTCTGCCTGGCATTGTATTTGATTCTGATTGAGGTCACTAGTAACGTTTTTTGACAATATATTTACCTATATCGTTTCTTTTTCTTTTCTTCTTCAAAATATACTAAAATATAAATGGGTTATCACTAAACATGAACAGGGTGAAGCATTGAATGGAGTACATTCCAAGTGTCTTTAAAAAAAAAAATTTATATATTGGATGACTTATGCTGTGGCCTCAACATTGAGGCTTACAGGAAAATTTTACATCAACTTGGCTTTAAGTAAGTATTTGGGTCATAAGGAAACCCTCCTAAATGAAGTTTTTTTTAGTTACAGTATTCATACCCTGGCCTTTTAAACACTTTGCAGGCACACATAGAACTATGGAATTTAACTGTTTTTCGAGAACAGGTCATTGCAGACATGGCGATATATTGGCAACAACGGGACTGTGTCACGACCAGAAGTGACTAGATTTAGTCTTGGAGATGACAGGGTTAAAAGATTATCTGCAGTCTGATTAGAATTTAATAAATGCAAATCTTTGTGGTTCATTAGATGTCAGCAGCATCTTCTCTGTCAGATATTTAGATAGGTAGAAGCCTGACAAAGAGAAGCAACAAAGCTTGCCGACTTGTAGGTACACTAAGGTGACAGTCAAAGGCTAGGAAAAGATAAGCTAATCAAAATGTTTTGTTGAATTTGAGTGTACTTGACCACATGTTTAGCAAAACAGAGCTCTCGGTACCACTGTCAAAACCACAGAGAAAAGACAAGACAAAGATATACTCAGAATACTACTGACACCACTAGTATTAGAACTGTTCTAGCTGCTAAAGGTAGGGACAGTGTTTATGGGAATGCCCCCAGTGATTTTAGGGACAGTGTTCAGGGAATGTCCTCAGGCTTATATGTCGGTTGCTAACTCTTCCATACTGGAGTGAACAGTACAGAGGCACATATCAGTCATCATAGTCTTAAGTGATAATGTAGAGGAGTACAAAAATACACCCGCGTGTGTATACTCAGTGATTCAATGAGTATGATCCGGAGGGTTCAAGCAGGTTCAGTGCGAAGACAATGGCTTGAATCATTACAGAAGTCCACTGTGCGTGGAGTCACCTTTATTTTTGTTCCGGGAAACGCAGGCGTCGATGGAAATGAAAGAGCTGACAGGTTGGCTGGATCCGCTATCACTACCGACGGTCAGCCTATGGATCATGCTGATATTATCAATGCCCTCCGAGAAATGGGAAGGATAGAGGACTTTGGTGGCAGTGAATCCACATCACTCGCCAGAATGGCAGACTTGGGAATTAAGATCGGCACAGCAAAAAACGAGACGCACACCAGACACGCTAGAAGACTTGTTAATCAACATAGAACTGGTACTATTAGCCATCGGACGTTGGGGTTCATACTGAGGGGAGGATCTGAGCACCTATGGACATGTCCGGAGTGCAATGAGGATAACCCAACTAACTAACTAACTAACTAACTAATGTAGAGGAGTGTAACCAGAAGATCTGAATGACACTCAGCTGCCACTACTGCCTTATATAATTTAGGCTAACGAACAACAACAGTTGTACTCAGCTTTGCTTACCGTGAACATTGTTTGTCACTGTGTCTTTCTCAATATATTTTGACATTGTTGCTTTTTTATTTAAATTAACCCTCATTATGGCTCCCATAATGATGTGAGATGTGAGAGTTGGAAAGCAGCGGTAGCTGTAGATGAAAAAAACATTAGACGGCTTTGAGAACAAATGTCTTAGAAGAATACTAAATCCTTGCTGGACAGATTTAAGATCCAGTATTCAAATAAGACAAGAGACCAAGCAAGACAATGTATCCAATTTATAAGCATTGCTGAAAATACATTGGCTATGCACTCATAATGGATAAGACAAGACTTCCCCATCAAGCCCTCATATGGATACCGGAAGGGAAGAAAAAAACAGGAAAGACCAAGAGAGACTCTCCGTAGAACCATCATCAGGGAAGGCTTAACCATAGGCCTAACAAACATCCAAGACCTAAAGCAGGTGGCAACAAACAGTCAGAAATGAAGAGCTATGACCTAGGCCCAAGAGGAAAAACTAAATATGGCTCCCAAGAAAAAGAAAAGGGTTTGGAACAGTGGTGTAAAGTAGCCATATTACAGTAAAAATTAAGAAGCAAATAATAACTAAATATGAAAATGGTCTTCATGTTTCTGATCTTGCCAAGCGGCACGACATGGTTAAATCTATGTATGACCTGTACACACACCCCCCCTCCCCCTCCCAACTGCCTGCCCGCATGCACCCATGCATGGCACACACACAACCGCCCGCTCGCACCCATGCACACACACACACAAATGATTTGCTAAAGATGGCTGATGTGGCCAGAGGAGTGACTGTTAACAAAGGAGAAGTCTGAAGTGTTAGAAGTAGCAACATTACTATTAGCCACTGAGCCAGCAATCAAACCACTTCCCAGGATACATACAAGAAATAAACACCAGAAATACCTATACAGTTACCCCACGTTACTATGGAATGGGACTCTGTTTTGAAGTAGTCGTCCTCATCCTTTTCTTTCCCCTCCTACCATCTACCTGTGACAACAACTATTAACCACAATGGTAAAGCTTTACTTTATATTTTATATTATATATTTTGTCCCGCATATCTTTAAAAAAAGTCAGAAGACAATATGTGTCTCGGGCAGGTGAACAGATTAGTGGAATTTGCATTGATTTCTCTGGGGAAAATTGTTTCGGCTCACGAACATATAAAGAGCAGATTATGTTAATAACCTAAGGTACCATGGTATACTATACAATTTTTTTTACAGATGGCAAGGAATGCTTCCAGCGCACTTCCTACAATGCCAAAGTATGACCCAAATACTCCTAATGCTTTGGTTATGCCCCGGCCCAGTGCTGATCATCAGGTACTCAGTTTGAAGATGTTCTTTTTTCTTTAAAAATTTTTTTTTTAATTCAGGTAAAAGGATGAATAGGAAATTTCTTCTTCTGCTCCATTCCCAGGGAAGATAGGCCCTCAACCATCTCACACCAAGCCATCCTGTCCCTTGTTATCCCTTGATATTGCTTGCATGCAGTTCACTGCATGTCTCCACTGTCTTTCTAACCCTACTCTCTAGTTCCCTTGTTCATGCAATAGGAAACTGACTTAGTGAACTGCACGTTATAGCAGGTGTATGAAATGTGAATAATTTAAGACATAAATGTTATTATCACTAATGTAGAGCTTTAAGAGAGAACTAAGAAAGCTTCAGAAGACCAAAAGGTGAAAAAAGATGCTGGCGTTGGATAGGACACATGTTGAGGAAAACCGGAGAACAATATAACTAGAATGTGTTTGCATTGGAACCCACAGGGGCATAGGACTAAAGGAAGGTAAAAAAAACACATGGAGAAGGGAGCTGAAGAATGTAGTTAGAAAGATGGGGAGAGCTGCATGATATAGCAAAGGATAGAACAACTTGACGAGTTAGTTGAGGTCCTATGCTCCATTGGGGGCTAGAAAGGCAGAATAAGAAGTTATTTCAACCTGTTGTCACAGTTATAAAATATAAATCATTATTCATGTGATTACATGTGTACTGAACTCGCCACTATCATCTAAGTAACAAACTCCATATTCTTTGTCAAATTATCCTTTATCATCGTCAGTTTCCACTTCTGTCATTAGCATCATGGGAAGGAACTGTTTATGATCCCTTGAGCTATTATCATTCAGTTTTGATGAAAAATGTCTTTGATGTCATCAGTCCATAATCTCCTTGGGCAGTGTCTTGTTTAACACCAGATCTTTTCACGTGTAGCGCCTTTTTTGGTCGTTCTGGCTGCGTACTAACAAGATTACTGAACCATTTGATTTCCTACTTCTCGGTGAAATCCTGCAAGTTTCTGTCTCTTCAGTCTATCTGATCGTATCATTTCTCAGTCTAGAATAATTAAATTAGTGGATTTCCTTGGGCATCTCATCTCACGTATGTTAATTTTATGTAGGTTGTCCTTTAATAATGTTATCCTTGATGTAAGCAAATATGATTAAATTTTATAATTTCTGCGGCCCATGTAAGTGAAAATAAAAGAAGAATTTTGTGTGAAATTTGTCAGCTGACAAAATATGTTGTCAGTTGCGTATCCTTTACAGAACATTGCAGAACCAACCAAAGCATTTTTTTTGAAATTGTGGTTTTTCTAGGCAAATTTTACATCAAGTAATTTGCCATTTCTTTCTGAACGGTCAGCTCTCGGTACCACTGTCTAAACCAATGCAAGACAAATAGTCTGTAGCTGGGATCGAACCCAGCACTCCGGCATTACGAAGCGCAGTCATAATGCCTAAGCCACAGAATATGACTGCACCAATACCTTGAAATTATTTTGTTTATATTATTCATTATTCATTTACAAGGCCAGAAGAATTATTTGTGAGTAAAACTGTTAATATGATTTTCTCAAATTATCTTTGCTATATGTTTTGTTTGCATGTTCCCAGTGGAAGCACAACCGACTTGGCCACCCTGTTGTTGATGTTGTGGTTGATCCTTACCTGTCAAATTATCTGCGCAGTCATCAGAGAACAGGTGTTATCTTTCTTTATGAATGTGTACTGGGAATGAGAAATTTCAATGGTGAAGGTGCAATTCTAGCGTAAGTACAAAATAACACCATGAGAATCAGTTTTATTAGTTCTCCCCGTGTGTCTTCTAGGGCCCTATTATAGAAAAAACAAGAATAGACACACTGCCTACCCAAAAGCATGTTGTAAGAGTCGACAAATTGGGAGCTTCCTTCAAAGTCAGAGTGCATCTGCCTGAGAGGCAAGGAACCAGCAGTCTGCATACAAATGAGTCAGATCTGAAAACGGATGTACACGCAACACTCAGGTTCTGGAACAGGACTGCAGTTCAAAAGTTTTTGGAACAACCAGAACTTTTGGCCAGAGTTTGCAGCTGGTGAACGCGAAGAAGAAGAAGTTTCATTAAGAATTTTTGTATCTCTGCTACATTTGTATCTCTGAGTACATTTAACTTGATTATGCTAGAATAAAAAAATTGTGAATCCTGATAAAGATATAACTTATGATGACGCAAAGAGGTTAAAAAGATGCATGTATTGAGAAATGACAATATTAAGAAGATGCATGTATAGAGAAATGACAATATTAAGAAGATGCATATATAGAGAAATGACAATATTAAGAAGATGCATATATAGAGAAATGACAATATTAAGAAGATGCATATATAGAGAAATGACAATCAGAGAATCCAGGCCACCAGAAAATTTAGCCATCCTACCAGCTTGATAAAAAAAAAAAAAAAAAACAAGCAGCAAACACTGCACACGATATAACAGGCTCAAATACCATTGTTCCATACGCTAAAGATAAAGACACTTTTAAATGTTACTGGAATTTGAACAAAGAAGACATGAACAAGAGATTGTATACTTTATTGCCTGGCATACTTTGCTGTATCTCGTCAGGTGCATACTACAGTCACAATTAAATTCAATGTTTACAATGTAATTAATTACCTTTTGCAAAAATTATAACAACATTTTGCATTATTCTGTTAATATTTCATACAATAATCAAATAGTTAAATAAATAAAATTTTTTCCTTTTGTTGTAAAAGTATTAAATGTTGTGATTTTCATACAATAATTGTATTTCTTCCTCTGTAGTGACGACATGGGCTTGGGGAAAACACTTCAGTGTATCTGTCTTATTTGGTAAGTTATCACATTTATTATCATGTATTACTTTTTGTTTATAGTTAAAAGAATCATAAACCTGCCAGACTTATTATAATCGTTATCATTGTTCATGGAGTAGATCTCACAATCACTTTGGTTTTTAAAATTTGTTTTGTCAAAAATTGGTTTTCTATTCTGAATTTGAAGAAGCAATTTTTATAATTCAAGAAAATTCCTACGTGAATCCACTACACTTTATGGGACAGACAAGCATAGGGATTATGTCAGCCTCTAGCTCATGCATACTTGGTTTCATTCATGGTGTGGACACTTTTGTTGAAAGTTAATGGAGGAACTTTTTTTTAAACACCAGTAACTCTTTGGGAATATAATGCTAGACTCACCATTTGGAGCCGCAAAACAGGAAAACCATGCAGGAGCCACCCGTCATTACATCAACCAGAACAGAATAGTAGTTGTTAGCCTAAAAACGTAGACAGGTGCTTTATTAGTATCCTACCCCAGATGCCGTCACAGGACAGTCCAACATTTTAGACAATGGTAAGACTGGGTTTCCCGGCTTTCTGATGCTTTAAACGACCCCAGATCATCTAGAACTGGATTAACCCCAACCCACCTACGTACACAAGAGAGTGCAGCCAAGGTTCCACGACTGCATGCAGCCTATCTACCACCCCCTGAAATATTAGACTGTTCCATATCCTGTGGATTTCTCCTGTTAGGATATTGATAACGTACCCACAGACATACTCAGGAGGAGATTGGAACACTTATGGTCATGTCCGACTAAGACGATCTCTAACATGAGCTATGAACTATAATACTAGCCTCACAGTTATATAGACCAAGCAGCACTCAGTTGGTGATATGGACAGTATCATGCTAGATGTAATTGTTTCTCAGGGTTTTGCCCGGTGCCTGTTTTAGGCTGGGTCAGCCTGAAAGCCGAAGTAATTTTGTTTTCAAATCCCTCCTGGTGCAGATCTGAACCCAAGATCTTTGGCCCAGCAGGCAAGTGTCAAGCCATTACACTAGCAAGACTCCTAGAAAGCATTTACAGTTGAGACCCCCCAAAAAAATGAGATCGTTATTTGGTCATCTGAATTTTTTTTTTTTTAGACAAGGGTGGAAAACTCAGAAGATTTTTGTGCTTAGAAGACTTGTGTGCTTAGAAGACTTGTTTGCATTTTGGGTATTTTAAAAACTGTTGGCAATTGAAAATTGAAATAGTAGGCTGAATAGAATGCTGCTCAGGCAAAAATTTTACATTTGAAAACCTCTTCATGAGGATTATTTATAGCATGTATAATAGTGGTATATATACATTTGGATATGCCTTTACTATCATACAACTTCGTCATCACCCTTGATTGATGAAGTTTTTCATTATTTTGAAGCCCCACCCTGGCTGTTGCCGGGGCCGCAATATAGCCTGGCGGTTAAGCGACGCTTCCCGGGGCCTCTCCAGGGGTGATCCTCATCCGCATGGTGGTACTTTGTGTCACCGGGTGTTTATCGCTCTGTGTAATGTCCTGGTGGGGTAACATTTACTTACTTACAAACATTTGAATCATTGCTAGTGCTGTGAAGTTTAGTTATTGTTTCTTGAAAGAGTTATTTGGTAATAGAATTAAGAATGCTGCTATTTCTTGTAGTAGTTTTATATTGAATGTTAAAATGTTAGTTATTATTTCTCGGTAGTAATTATTTTATAATAGATTCCAGAAATAGATTGAAAAAAAAATGTTGGCCGTCATTATTTTATAACAGAATTACAAAAAATATTACTGTTACCATTTCTTGAATATAGTTGTTATACGATAGAGTTCAAATTATTTACATTTATTGTTTCTCAAAAGTAAAGAACAACAGCACCCAATATCCATATTCCATTAATTACTAGTCTGTTATCATCATTTCATCCTGTTGTGCCATTATGTGCCACATAGGGCTTGCAGTTTATTGCTTTTAGTGTCTTTTGTATTGGTGATAATTATCAATAGTTTTATTGTTCTTTGCCAGGACATTACTAAAACAGGGGCCATATGGTGGGAATCCGGTCGCCAGAAAAGTTCTGGTTGTGACCCCAGGCAGCTTGGTTAAAGTGTGTGTTTGGCTGTAATTATATTGTACTATCTCTCTCTCTCTCTCACTCTCTCTCTCTGTCTCTCCCCCCCTCTCTCTCTCCCTCTCTCTCTCCCCCTCTCTCTCCCTCTCTCTTTCTCTTTCTCTCTCCCCCTATCTCTCTCTCTCCTTCCCTCCCTCTCTCTCTTTCTTTCTCGCTCTCCTTTTTTTCTGACTTTGTGCATGTAAATAGGGTTTTTCTTCAGGTTTACCTAAGAATCAAGAAACACTATTGAATACAATTTCTAAAAGAATAATTTTACTTAGGATTCCTTGGCTGTGTTAAAACGTCCTTGGAATTTACATAGTTCTGTATGTACACCAGGTTGTCACATCCATCTCTTACCTTTTTTCAGTACCAAAAGATGCACCATGTGTGTATCAGTGTTTCTTAACTCTTTGTAGTACATCCATGTTTTACATTAGCCATCTCATATCACAATTGTTATTTTAACCACTTCTGTTCAATTACGTTTGTATTTGAACTGCTTTAGACTGAGACATGTATTGTTTTCAAGAGAAAACCTCATTGATAAGAATGAGCTTCAGTATTGTTAGCTGGGACTGAAAGTTTTAAAATGTATTGTTAAGAAAAAAAAAGATCAACCTTACTGCACCTTAGTTTTATTTCTCATATGCTGCAACACTGTCATCTGTATGATGCCATTAGAGACTCAGTCTTGCCTGCTCCAACCACAGTGAAGACAAAACTGTATGGTGCACGAATGGATAAGCACATTAGCTTTTATACTGGCTTCCTGATATAAGTTTTCTGACAGGATAAGCACATCAGCTTTCATACTGGCCTCCTGATATAAGTTTTCTGACAGGATAAGCACATTAGCTTTCATAAAGGCTGCTGGCCTGATATAAGTTTTCTGACAGGATAAGCACATTAGCTTTCATAAAGGCTGCTGGCCTGATATAAGTTTTCTGACAGGATAAGCACATTAGCTTTCATAAAGGCTGCTGGTCTCCTGATATAAGTTTTCTGACAGAAGGATCAAAGAAGAAGAACTCTGTCTTTCTCTGTAGACTAACTGGTCATCCTTGCCACCAAGCACTAACTCAGAATCTCAAGCTCTGACCCCCAGGACTACAAGCCTGAAACTAAAAATAATAGCCCAACTGCTTACTGATGTGTTTGGCAGAAAGACACAGATATCATAGCCTAGCTGTAAACCACAACACACTCTCTGCCCTTTAAAAGGGTATAACAAAAATAAGTGCAAGACAAATTACTTAACCACTTTGCTGCAGATCGCACGTACCCATCAGTTGCAGTTGCTTGCCTAATATGTCCGCTAAAGGAACATGTTGCCTTCTCCTGCAAAACGGGTGGATGGAAGCATCAGTAACATGTGTCTGTACATCTACAGAACTGGTTCCAGGAGTTCAAGAAGTGGCTTGGAGCAGAAAGACTAAATGTTTTTGCTGTGTCAACAGATAAACGTGTCGATGTAGGTAGCTTAAATTCTGTTAGTTTATTTTTTCACTTATAATTTTTTAATTTTTATTTTATATATACTGGTGCCGTCAAAGATGAGGTGCTGCGTTGGCTGTCCTAGGGCACTAGAACAGAAAATAACAACGTGTGAAATGCGCTGTCTCTGCAAGGCCACTAACAGCACAAGAAGGGAAAGGTTTACGAATACCAGCATTAGAGAGAAAGTTGGAGTAAAACCATGTCTGGATTATATTAACAGACAAAGAAGGAAATAGTTTGGCCATCTAATGAGAAAGCAGCCAGACCAAACTGCATATGAAACTTTTTACCTCAGAACATCTGGAAGAAAGACAAAGAAAGAAATGGATCAATGGTGTTGCTGAAACTTGCAAAAAGATAAGCAAATCCATCATCCAAGCTACCCGAGAAGTGCAAGACAAATACAGAAAACCACGACACTGGTCTAAAAACTGGTATCAGTGAGACGACAATAGAAAAGATTAAAGTAATTTCAATTGTTGCTTTACAGAGACACAACATATTAGATATTATCTCAGTCATTGTTAAACACAACATGTAAATAGATGATAAGTGATCTCAGTCATTGCTCTGCTGCAGAAATAATGTAGGTGTGAATCTGATCTCAAGTCATTCCTTTTCCACTGATACAATATACAAGTAGATGTTGAAATGATTCTAATCACTGCTACACCACAGACACACCATATAAGTAGATATTATCATTTCATTCATTTTTTTAATCACATACAACATATAAATAGATGTAAATCCTGTCTCAGCAGATTTCGCTCTATTTTCACAACATATAAGTAGATATGAATGGGGTCTTAAATACTAATATTCCAAAGCAACATATAAGTAGATGCAAATCCTATCTCAGCTGTTGTTGCACCACAGACACAACATATAAGTTGACAGAATTGGATCTCAAACAATGCTATTCTCAAACCACCCCTTAATTAGTGTAAGTCGTCGTGGCGTAGCAACTAGACGCTCGCGTGGGGATCGGAAGGTCATTGGTTCACTCTCTGGCTTAGCCAGACTTTTTAAAAAAATGACTTCGCCTCCCAGGTCGACTCAGACTTGAGTGGGTACTAGGTGCTCCCGGAAAGTAAAGGCGGCTGGCATGATGATGACCACATCACCCATCTTGTGCCGATTGGTCTTTAAAAATATAGGTCTAGCCTTATATGCCTAGAGACGTTGAAAAAAGACCTTTACTTTTACTTTACAACATATAAGTTGATTTAGATCTGATCTTAGCAGTTGTTTCATCACAGACACATCATATAAGTAGAAATGAGTGGGATACTTGCTCTTCCAAAGCAACAACATATAAGTAGATGTAAATCCTATCTCAGCAATTGTTGCACCACAGACACATGTAAACAGATGTAAATCCTATCTCAGCAGTTGTTGCACCACAGACACAGCATGTATGTAGAAATGAATGGAATCTCAAACACTGCTCTTCCATAGATGCAACATAAAAGTATATTTGAATCCCATCTTAACCACCTTATTAACTTATTTTGTCTAGGAGTTTGTGAGGTCTGGTCTACATCCGGTCTTGGTGATTTCCTACGAGATGTTTGTTAGGTATCATGAACTCATCAAGCAGGTACCCTTTGATTTAGTTGTCTGTGATGAGGGACATCGACTGAAAAACACGGCGATAAAAACTACTTCTGTGAGTCCTTTTTCTTTTTACTTGTTATTTTAATCATCTTAATCTGTGTCCCTAATAATCTTTTTACTAAAAGAATGAAATTCTCTAAAATTTTGTTATAAAGAAACGCATCATTATAGTTCTCTGAAACTATAAGAAACAAGAAGAGGAGAATAAAAACTAAGAACCCAGATGGCAACTTTTTTTTTTTTTTTCATCGAGCACCGGCTGTGAATTCCAGTGGAAGGTCCCGGTTAATCGTCCGCTTGGACTTTTGGCTTTCACCTGGACCTGATTTTTGCGTGTACAACCGTTTTTCATTTCCCTGCCTCTTGGGCAGCTGTACGCCGACTTCGAAGGAAGACGTCAGGCCTATTTCTAGGGTGACTGTGGCCATTGTTTTGTGTGGGTCGAGACGTTGCCTGATTTGTGTGGTGTCCATTTTGTCTCCTTCGCCGCAGGTATTGCCCCCAGAGTACCCCTTTGGGGCAGCCCCCTGTGGAACAGTTGGCCCTCAAGGGAAGGCAGGGGCAGATCATGGGCATTCCCCGCCATCCAAGGAGGCTTCCATGCATGCAGAGCCGGCACATATTGCTCTGATTCTGGGCTCACCCAAGGAATCGTCACGTCCTGCACATGCCTGCTTAACCTCACAACCGCATCAGGCCTCCCGCTCGACAGGGGCTGCGCCCTCTGGAAGTCAGCGGGGAGCAGCCCGTGGGTTTTGGACTTTTGTGACCACACAGATAGGTACATTAGCCCGACAGAATTTCACATCCTGAATCAGGCGTATCGTTATCAGTTTTGTCCCAACACTCGGGCGAGTGGGGTCTTTGGGTGTGGATATTCGGTCTTTTTCAGTTCAGTGCAAATTTTGATGGTCAGATTTTGATCCGTATGATTTAGTTTTGTCGGACATTTAGGCTTAGCCATCCGATGGATGGTTGCTATTGTGGTGTACCCCAGCGCGGTGACGACGACACTGAGGGTTAACCGAGGATGTACGTGAATGGCCAGCCTATGGATGGTTGTTGTTGTGGTGCACCTCAGCGCGGTGACGACGACACTGAGGGCCAACCGAGGATGTACAAGGATGGCCAGCCTATGGATGGTTGCTGTTGTGGTTGTACCTCAGCGCGGTGACGACGACACTGAGAATTAATAGAGGATGTGCAGTGAGCAATGATCTCTTTACTCAGCAGTCTTTTAACCAAGGGTTGTAATTTTAGCTGTATGTTTGTCAACCCTACTCATGTTCCTAATGAGTTTTGATAACATTTTTCACCCAAGCGTTTGGGGGCGGGCTGATGAGAGCCACAAGGACACATCACCTCTGGGGGCCGCCAAACTCCGAGATCCCCTGACAGCTCTGTTAATGCTCATTTGAGATATTATCCGTGGCGCACGACGAGGATGTGCTGTAGGGGTCTTGCGTGAGGTTCCGTACAACCAGGATAGTGAAGGACTGGCGCCCGAGTGACGTACGGAGTATCTCCTTATACACATCATGTTGGACTTAACTTCCCCTCACGCCTGTGACATAAATCACCGCGCCACAGATGGCAACTAAAAAAACCTACATCTTGGGGGACAAAAATCCAGTGGCAGCTGTGAGCTTTACAGATGCTGTGTTGCTGCCTACAAGTAATGGTGCTCTGCTTATGGACGACTCCCGATGTGGAACACAGAACACTTAGAGCGCAATATGACACCCCTGGAAGATACTGTAGTCCGTGGAAAAGGTCATGGCCCATGAATGGAAGGTCAAGAAATCTCCCGTTAGGAGAAGAAGTGGGGTTTTGCGGACACGACCATGTATTGTACCGTTGCAGGATTAAAGGCAGGCCTAAAAACAAAATACACAGAGAAGAGAAAAAGAGGCAAAGGATAGGATAGTCGTAGTTGAGGTTTCAGCCTAACTGCAGTTGGGTCATCCTATAATACTTGCTCTGTTCCTATGCCAGTGAAAATCAAATGAAATGTTTCTCACTGTCCCATTTGAAAAACGTGTGAACAGACTATAATCTCGGTAAAATTCAGAAATCAGCGCACGCAGTAAATGCATTCGGAAATTGCTAGTGGCACCAAAGCCAACAGTTGCAGCCAGAAATGCAGTTTGTCGTGGATTAAAGTGCTCTGTCACAAAAAGATGGCCATACACACGTAGAATTATTACATAAGGTATTTCACCAGCCCACATGTAAACTGACTGCCGGCCATTTTGAATACCACGACACAACTGCTGCACAAATGAAAGGTATTCTACAGGAAAAAATACAGCTCACAGGGCTGCACCAAGTATTAAACAGGAGCTCAGGCAGCGAAACTATAGACTTCCGTCCATGTGTAGAAAATGCATTAGCAAAGCACTATCAGAAGCAAAAATAACTTCAAAGCTAAACATTGTGTGATGCCTAATCCTCCATTTTAGACTTGATAGGATAAGTTAGCACAAGCTGGTTGAGGGCCTAGGCTCCTGAGGGATAAAGGGCAGAAATCGACACTTTCAGTGTTCGGTGAAACCTGTTAGTGTCATGGATTTTATAGCTTAATTTCTCTTCATTGTGTTATCTCTTAGATATTAACAAGCCTGCCTTGTCGGAGAAGGATTGTCCTGACAGGAACACCAGTTCAAAATGACCTGCAAGAGTTTTTCTCTATTGTAGAGTTTGTTAATCCTGGGATTTTAGGTGAGCTAATCTAAACCAGTCATATTTTGTCTAAATATACAAATTTATGAGCATTTCTCCATTGATGCACAATTACATAAACAGCATCATTCCTGGGGAACTGAAATACTCTAGTCATACTAAACATCACAGTGTCTGTAAAAAAACACCTCTTGGAAGCCTGTTAAGAATGGGCATGGGCCTGTCCTCATGAGACTCAATATGGAATGATAGATTTGAGGTACCCTGGGCATAAAAATGTGGGAGGCAAGATAAATATCAAAAGATCCCAAGAAGTCTACTGCAAATACCTGCTGCATTATATGATCTTGTTTCCAAGCCATCGTTTTCATTAGACTGAGTGGGTGCTTCTCTCAAGAAGTGTCACATCCATGGGTTCTTTTTTTTAACCCATGAGTATCAGGCCAGTCAGTATAACAGTGCTGTAGCTATTATACAGGGTCATTGAGAATGATTGCAAGGATTGTAAACTTTTGTTGTAAAAGGAATATACAATGGATATACAAGTGTGATGTCTGAAAATGTTTCGAAAACTAAAGTTTCGTGTGACAGTGAAGCTTAAAACAGCGCTGAGAAGATAGGGAACATTCAGCTTTTTAAAAAGAGGGTCGCTGCAGCAACCGCAACTGTAATTGTGGACACGATTCAGAAGACATGACAGGAGACTGAATACCGCCTAGGCATCACTAGAGCTAATATGGCACCCATATTGAAGCAAACTAAAATACTGTATTTCCTTAACTGATCCTATGTATAAGTTGCACTCTAATTTTGAGACTGTAAGTTTTGAAAAATAAAATGATTACACAAAGTTAATGAACTCACATTTTATTCATGATAGAATCCAGAAAACTCCTAATCACTGTCAAAATACTCATGCATAGGATAGTTCTTTAGCTTGCTCTCATCTGTGTCTGATGAGAAATCTTTATCTTCATATATTGCCTCATCCTCAGTTCCATCCGTGGCATTTGAAATGTCACACTTCTTGAATGACTTGATAATGATCTCAGTCTTCACATTACCCCAGGATCTTTTCACCCACCTACTAACTTCTCTTATGGTTTCTTCACACTGCCTGCTGGTGTCAGATTATCCCCAAAAGACTTCATCCATTGGTTTCATTCATATCTCATGGCATCTTTGAAGAGTTTGTTAATGCTGACATGAAGTGGTTGAATCTTATGGATACAAGAATTCCTATTCTTCTTCTTGTTCATTGCGTTCACCAGCTGTAAACTCCGGTGGAAAGTTCTGGTTGTTCGTCCACTTCTGGGCTGCAGTCGTGTTCTAGAACCTGAGTGTATCCGTTTGACAAATCTGACACATTTGTGTGCAGACTGTTGGTTCCTTGCCTCTCGGGCAGATGCACTCTGACTTCAAAGAAAGCTTCTAATTAGTCGACTCTTATGACATGCTTTTGTGTAGGCAGTGGGTCTATTTTTGTTTTCTCTATAATAGGGCCTCGGAACCCCCACGGGGAAAAATTCCTATTGTAACAAGTGCAAAAACTATTACAGCGGGAAAGAACTTATAATTTTTGCTTTTTTTGTGTCTCCATTTATGTCACCCCTGAACCGGTATTTCCAAATAAGGCACTGTAGGGATATTTTCTAACAAATCATTTGGTAAAAGTCTACTGCCACTGTAAGACGCACAATGATTTTAGGCCCTATAGTTTTTTTTTTTAAATAAGTGCATCTTATACTTGGGAAAATACTGTGAGTTTAAAACCCTAAGCACTTTTTTGGTTCAAAAAAAAAAATCCCAGCAGTAAATTTCAGTGACCCTGTATTTCTGACTACTCCATATGTATGGGGGGGGGGGGCCGTGGTAGTGCAGCAGCTAGAACACTTGTTTGTCATCCAGTGGTTATATGAATAGGATGTGTTTATTAGTTTTTTCCCATGGTATAGCTATTCATGTCCATATTTTCTCCTATTATGTATTTTGGGTTTAAATTGAATGTGGCTGTTTATAAACTCCAGCTTTGTCCTCTGAGTTTTCTAGTCACTGTTTGACCTTTGATTTTTCTAGCTGCTATTTGAGTTTTACTCCGTTGATAAAGACTTTGTTTGAAATGTTCGGTTGTAATGTGCATATATTTCCATTTCCTTCATTGAGGTTTCTAGTCAGTTTGTGTTGTATTTAGCACATCAAGTGGCTGTCTGTTCTAACCTCCATACAGGTTGGTTTTTCCAAATTAACTTAGGCTTCCGATTAAGTCCTTTACTTGTCTACACACACACACACGCACAGGCGCGAGCAAATATAGTCACACAGATAGATAACATACAAATATATGTTGGCCGTTATTTCCTATGTATCTTCTGTCCTCACATTGTTGGTAGAGGGCCCTAGTTTATGGGGATAAAAGAATTTATCCACTGCTCCTTAACAAGCATGTCATAAAGGGCAAATGATTAAAGATTTTCTCAATTCAGATGCACATTGGATCAGATATCACAGTTTGGCTGTAAACCACAACACACTTCGCCAGCCACTATTTAAGGGTGTACACAGAAGAAGATGTTTATTTTACGTATATTTTATAAATTAGAGCCACCATGGTCTATCTGCTAAACATTCGCTTGAGGGTTAGAAGATCGTAGGTTTGAGTCCTGATGGGGTCAGACCTTTTAAAAAATGTCCTTGTCTTCCAGGCCAACCCAGCCTTCAGTGGGAATGAGGTACAGTCCTGTGAAGTAAAGGTGGCCGGCGTGATGCTCACCACATCACCCACAAAGTGCTGTTTGGTCTATAAAATATAGGTCTAGCCCTATGTACCCACTACTGCTGAAGGCGTGAAAAAGGGTCCTTTACTTTACTTATATTTATAAATAATGTTATTACATTGTTTCCATTATATTCTGTCACTCAGGCTCTAGTTCAGCTTTCCGGCACATCTATGAAGATCCCATTGTTGCATCACAGCAACCAAAAGCCACAGAAGAACAACGTGAGCTGGGAACAAAACGAGCCCAGGAGCTAACCCGACTCACGCAGATGTTTATTTTACGAAGAACACAAGAAATTAATAATGATTATTTACCTCCAAAAGGTAACTAAAGTTTTATTGAAATGTAGTTGATATTATAGCTGCGGGCAATGTGCCTTGCGTTGGTTTCGACAGTGGTATCAAGAAAGCCGACCGCCCAGAAAGCATTGGCAAACTACTGGACGTAAATTTGCCTAGAGAAACCCCACTACAGCCAGGGTCTCTCTGGTTGGCCTTCTCTTTCCAGTTGGTGACACCAAGTGTTTGCAGGTCTGTCTGGACATTTTCTCTCCATCGTCCTTTTGGTTTGCCTCGTGGTCTACGAACATTGATCTCCTTTGTGTATACAGTTTTCACTTCTCTGTCATATGACATTCTCTCAATATGCCCCAACCATTTCAGTCTATTAGCTCTTATGATGCCAGTTATCAATATTGATGTTTTACATTATGTTTTATAATTGCACCTGACTGCAGCAGATGTTTGTTTTGAAAAGAATCCAAGAAATTAACAGTGTTGAATGTTAAATCAAGAATCTACATCACAGCACTCGAGACATCCCCATAAGTGTTCAGTCCCCATGTTCAGCAGCAAGCACAGAAATTAACAATGATTAACCTGGTAACTAAAAATAATTTTTTTGTTTTGTGAGTGCTTTATTACTATCCTACCCCAAACAGGGAAAATCCACAGGTCACAGAACAGTCTAATATTTCAGGGGGTGGTAGATAGGCTGCATGCAGTCGTGGGACCTAGGCTGAACTCTCTCTTGAGACGTAGGTGTGTTGGGTAAGGGCCAGTTCTATATGTTTTGGGGTCGTTAAAAGCATCAGAAAACCGGGAAACCCAGTCTTGCCACCCTCTAAAATGTTGGACTGTCATGTGACGTCATCTGGGGGTAGGATATTAATATAGCATCGTTATGTGATTACACCCCCCTTTCGAATGACCTCTTATCTGTCTAAAGTCCCATAATACTGTGTAATTGGGTCACTGAGTTAATGTTGATTGTTTGATCAGGTCTTTCCATTTCTGGTGTTTGGATGTGCTAGACTTGATGTTTTAAAATGAGGCCCTTTTTATTCTAGGTCGATTAATTAGAATACTGCATATGGATATATCTAAGTTTTTTCGTCTGTTATTCTTTTGTCCACAGTGGAAATGGTTTTATTCTGTAAGCCGACGACACTTCAGCTGACCTTGTATCGTCAGCTACTTCATTCCAATGTGATTCGCCGCTGTCTGGCGGGTAATTTGTCAGGGTCCCCTCATCTCGTTTGTATAAGTGCTTTGAAACACCTGTGCAATCACCCAGGTTTGGTCTATCGTAAGGCAGCAGAACACCAGCTTAACAAGGAAACCCAGAGGCATTCCATTCATGGCAAACCTGGAGGTGACAGCTGTGATGAATGGGAGGTAATAAGTGGATGCTTGTTTTATTCTTTGTCCCTGTTTGTTTCTTTTCACTTCAAGCATGTCTTAAAGTCGACTAATTAGTTTTTTTTTTCAACGCTATAGTGCGTTCAATCCGTTTTTTTCCAGCTTAGCATTTATTGAATAAAAACTAAAGTTTAGCGAGTTTAGAACCAAATCACTGCACTCTGGCAATTCTTAAAAGTGCTCCCTTCCCCAGCTTCAGCAGCCAGCCCAGTTCCAGTTTTGTTATACCTGAGGAACTCTGACTGTATGTTCACCTTGCCTTACCTCTGAGTGTAGAGTGTCGGCCAGATCCCCCAATCACTCTCCACCAACTGAACCTTTTTCTTCAGACTGATTTCTTTATTTGTTCATCCACACTGTTCACTCAACGGTCTAAGGAGATGGCGCTGCAAGGAGTTACCAGGGGATCTGGCCGATGCCCAACACTCAAGGGAAGGGTGAGACGGATATACAATCAGACGGTTACTGGTGTCATCAGAATTGGAACTCTTCGTTTGATGCTGAAGATGGAGACGAAGCGCTTATGGGGGTGTCCCGAGTGCTATGATGTGGATTCTTAGTTCAACATTTAACTGTTTGCTCACTCCCAGCTGGCCTTAACCACATCTACCATGCTATGCATTGATTCACCACCAAGTGATGAAGAACTAGCATCTTTATGCTTTATCCAGTGCTGAATTAAGAATCTACATCATAGCACTTGGGACACTCCTATAAGAGCTCCATGCCCTTCTTTAGCAGCAAGCGAAGTTCCAGTTCCGATTGTACCAATAACTAATATGCTTAATATGTTTTGCGTGCTTATTCTTTTTATAGATCTGACTGTTGGTTCCTAGCCTCTCAGGCAATGTACTTTGACTTTGTAGGAAACACTCCTAATTGGTTGCCTTTTATTATATGCTTATTGGGGGGGGGGGGGGCATGGTGGGTCTGATTCCAACCCCCCCCCCCCCCCCCACCCCCCCTCCCCAATTATGGGGCCCCGGAATCCACACATGGACCGTTTGAGAGTCGTACCATGCAAGAGATTGGGAGCCCTTACCATGTAATATTCCCAAAGACATCAGTGGATACACTAACGAACCCTCATTGTGTAGATGGTACATACAGCGGAGTCTAGATAAGAAGAAGTCTCAGGGGCCTAAGGAAGTTGAATTTGACTTAACAAGACTTTTTGTGCAGTGAGAAGGAAAATGGCCATGACTGTGCTGATCATATCAACTTAACTCTTTGAGTCCCATGGAGTTTAACATCAGGGGTACAAGGGATTGTAATTACATTAAAAAAATTTTTTTTTTAATTCACAAGTGTAACATATCAAAACAGACCACACTAATTCAGCTGCCATGCCAGATACACAAATTATACGTTAAAGTGACCAGGGTTTGTTGTGAAATAATATTAGAATACTGTTACAACAAATAATTGTGTTAGTAGTTAGTACTTAAATATTAGTAAATAAACTTACAGCATGTTTAGAGCAATTCGTAATATGAAATAATAATTTTTCCACTTACTGCCATAGCGGTCAAGGAAAACTTGATAAAATACATATAAAATGAATCACAAATAAACATGAACCACTTAGTAATGTATAAATAAAATATAAACTCAATCTGTACATTAGATCTTGTTTCAGAGAAACGCTTGGAGCATCATAACAGAGCACCATTATTTGGTAAAAAGAATTGACTTCCCAAAACAATTAAGCATAAGCGAAGTTTATATAACACTTAATTTGCCTGTAATTTTGTAGCTATGATTCTAAATAATCAGGGGAATAGCACTAGAATTAACTGATACTGAAGAAAAAAAAACGTTTTTCTTTCACTAATATTTTTTCCTCTTTGTACCAGCAGACTTTGTTATCGGTGTAGGCTTTGCATAAGGCACATAAAAGAGGTTTCCATCATCAAAATTTTACTCAAAAAATGACTGAAACAAGTCTACTTCACAACTTTATCCATTCTACCTCGGGGAAAAGTCTGATAAACATGGTTTTTTTTTTTTTTTTGAGGCTTCAAAAGCTGTAAATCCAGCTGGCATGCATGTAGAATACTGCTTGCCGGCTATATTGTTTTCAAATAAACACTTAGTAACTGTGTAAACCTCACAAGCGTTTTATATTTTAGGCTTCTAACCACGTTTCCAAATAAAACTGATGGTCAACACCTGTGATATCATACACACACAAAAACTGGAGAGGAAGTTTCAGTTGTGCGGTTTGTATTTTTACACGGGTCAACGGTAAATTAAAAACCTGTACGTGTCAGGCACCAATTGGGCAGCTGGATGGTTACCAATTAGTGCATGATGTGATCATTGGAGCTCACAGAAAAGCTAAATTTGTCTTATCAGAGTTCAACTTACGTGGACTTAACTGTATTTTGTGTGTGTGTGTGTGTGTGTTCACAGTGCTTATGATAGTTCTTGTGTTCTTGCCCTAGGATTCCATTTACTCTGGGATGCTGCCATATTTCCCAGAGTCTTTTGATGCAAGTGTGGTCAGTCTTGTTGATTCAGGAAAGTTGATTGTTCTCTCTGGACTTTTGTCCGCCATTTGGAGTCAGTCATCTTCTGAGAAAGTAGTTCTGGTATCCAACCATACCAAGGTGAGGGGGTTTCTTTTTCCTTCAGAGGCATTGTTTGTGTATGTGTGTTTCAATAGTATTTGTTGAAATTAAGTTAAAGTCAAGGGGTTCAGCGTTAACTCACCAGGTTATCCAATATGACCTGTCTCTGTCTGCAGAATGGCCAGCCAGATGCTGAAAACTTCACACAAAGCGTGAGCTATGTAGCTTCAGCAGTGACCTCCCAGGGATCTTTGTAAAAAACTGTACTAAACAGTGTGTCTATTAAAAAAACCCAGGACCTTCAGAGCACAAAGCAAATGGCTTGACTACTTTACCACTGAGCCCCTCAATACGCCAGCAAGTTGGGATGGCCGTGGGTTAATGTGCTTGGTTTCTAACTATATAAATAGTAAGTCAAGGACCATTTCCCACATATTAGATAGACTGTGCTAGTCTCAGATTTATACAGACCAGCAGCACTCAATGCTGTCAATAGCAGTCAAACTTCATTATAGAAACAGCTTACAAAATAATGTAAATGTTCCTTTTCCACACCTTTAGACATATTGGGAATATAGGGCTAGACCTATATTTTTATAGCCCAGTCGGCACTCGGTTGGTGATGTGGTCAGCATCACGTCAGTCACTTTTACTTCCCAGGACTGCACCTGGTACTGCACTCAGGGCTGGGTCGACTTGGGAGTCAAGGTCATTTCTGAAAAAAGTCCGGCTCCATCAGGTTGCAAACCCATGACCTTCTGATCCGCAGGCGGGCGTCTAACCGCCAACTCCACAGCGACTCCCAAACAGCTTACATAATACATAAATATATACACACATTTATATTTGTGTGTATATATTAGGGCTGTACCGAATATTCGCTTCGGGGCTGAATAGTGGACCTAATAACTATTCTGTATTCGGCCGAATACGAATAGTGGTTACCTTACAACCGTTTCTGCATACACTAATGGATTGAAATAACTCCATCATAAACACAATAGTTGCTTTTGCCTTAGTCTGTCGTAACGGAGGGAACTGTGACTTGGTTGCATGGTACAGCAGCTGGCAAGGCCTTTGCTTGCTGACTCGACCGAGGCATTACAGCAGAGGTTCTCTAACTGGGTGCGTATGCAAGGGGTGCCATTGCAAAAATCAAGAAAAGTTGGCTATAAATTGTGACATTAATAAAGAGGTTTTGAAAGAGGCGGGAACCCTAGGACAACTACTCACAGACATCAGAAGGAGACAGTCATAATTTTTTGGCCATGTTATGAGAAGGGAAAATGGAACATGTGGTGACCACTGGAAAGACCTGTGGAAGGAGGGATAGAGGAAGACAACGAGAGAAGATTCTTGACAGTCTTGTTGCATGGCATGGAGGTGTGTCAGCACACGAACTAATACATGCTGGAGATCGCAGATTGTGGCGAGGCATAATGGCCCACGCCAGTCGGCAAGGCACCTGATGATGATGATACATTATTCGTATTCGTATTCAGCCGAATAGTTGGTCCTGCTATTCGTATTTGGCCTAATAGTGAAAATCACTGTTCGGTACAGCCCTAGTATATATATCATATGTTCCTAAGAGATTCTACTTTATGACACAAAAAGGTTCAAATGTCCACTACTATTGGCCACACCCGTTTGAGTGTACTCTTTTGAGCGTAATGACCATAAGGGAAGCTATGCCTGATGTATGCTTACCCATAAATGCTGCATAAAGTCCTCCAGGGCATCCACATGAAAAAGTGTTATTAGCAACTTGAGGAGTCTAACATGATGAGAACGTGAGATGCCTATTTTGCGATGATAATCAAAGTTTTGAAACTGCAGATGTCTTCCTGGGGAGCCCCAAAGGGTGATGAGTAAAAATGCTTAATATACGGATGTCAGGTTAAGCAGTTATGTGCAGAACATGACATTTCCTTGGATAAGCCCAGTACCAGAGCGCTGTGTATCGGCTCTGCATGTACGGAAGCCTTCTTTGGGGGCAGGGAATGTCCATGCTCTGTCACTGCCTTGTCCTGGACAGGTCCTTTAGGGATAACTGTGGATCAGAAGATGATGAAGTCATCATAATGTGAGGCTACAAATGCCCCCTGAAGCTAACCAGGAAGGATAACCCAATTTACAAATTCCTGAAGAAGTCAGCTGTGTCAGCAAATATCACAGCTATGCTGTAAACAGACACAGGGCATGTACATCACTAAGATGAGAAATTAAGAAGCAGAAGAAATATGTAATGTAATAAAACAAATGTTCACTTATCAAGGGAAAATACAAGGAATTGTGGAGATAACAAACAGTAAACATCCACAAGACCCAATCAGCAAACTCAACAGAAAGCAACATACAACATGCATAAAATAAAGATTGTACAGTCCCCACAGTGTGCATGTCAAACAGGACCACAAACACCTGAGCACATTCTGCAGACCTGCCCACTCTATATACAACTTTGAAAAGACACCTGGCCTCAAGAGCAAAGTGTGCAGAGCAAGCTGTGGGAACCATGAAGGACCTGCTGCTGACATGCGAGTTCATAGAGGCAACCCACCTGATGGTCTGATCTGAGCCTACGAAACCGAACACAAAGAAGAAGAAGAAGAATATAACAAATGTAAATGTCAAAATATTTTTTTAAAATGTTAATGCAAACAAAAAAAATATAAATGTAAAAAAAAAACAAAAAAAAAAAAAAAAATTACCCCACCACAAAAATCTTTAATTCGGTCTGGGGCTGAAAGAGTTACTGTAGTTTGAAATAAACTGGAACATGAAAAATAATTGATAAAAAATACACTTGTGGTCTCAGAATCTTCACAAGGATTATAAAAATATTATGCAACTAATATTTTTTTTAACTCATTTTTCTATTGTTGAACTATACACTCGGTACTTCCAGATACTTGACTTCCTTGAGGTATTCTGTCAAGTTAAGGGTTACCGTTTCCTGCGAATGGATGGTCAGACACCAACAGGCCAGAGACAGGACATCGTGAGCAGGTTTAACAACAAGGCATCACCATTTAGTAAGTTGGTCATTAATCGAGGTTCCAGTATCACTACAGGACCATTTGCTCTACAGATGCTCCTTTCTTGTGCCAGTGTAAATCATGCAAAAGGTCCTTTACTGTCCCGTTTGAAAATTAGGAAAACTTGTTAGTCCAAGCAAAATCTGGAAGTTTGTGCACCCAAAGCAAAAGTGCATAAGGCAGCTGTCAAATGTTTATTTTTATGTTTTTTTCAACGGATCAACATCATGGCACACGGGTGTAACCCAAAAGTGCTCCGTTCTTCTTCTAACTCAAGCCTGAGCCAGAAGAATTTCACTACAGTGCACAAACTCCGTAGCATCGGCAAGGATCCTGAAATACTCTGGATAGATGTTTAACTCCAAAGTTTGCATGGGCAGCATAGGCTACTCTTTTCAATTTCTAACTGCCAAGGGATTTTTTATATGCGCCACAATACAACGGGCATCCGGTCTTTCTAGGCAGCGACCAGGGGAAATTATTAGAAGTCCACGTGAACAAATCCCAGCCTTCACTAGGGCTTGAACCAGGGACCTCTAGCACTCGAGGCAGACACTATGCCTCAAGACTACGCAGCCGCAGCTGTCAGATGAGCAAACACTAACGGTCCCACACCATAATTGCAGGTCACTTTTGGCACAAGCGGCCATTTTTTAAACCTGGCATTGCAACTGCAAAAGTAAACGCCATTCTGATTGTAATTCGCTGGCTATCCACCATTTTAGTGTCACCAGTAATGTGTCGCTGGCACAGAAGATGCAAAATATTCCACAGGAAATCCACAGCTCAACAGTGTTGCACAAGCACTTAACTTAACTCTTTGAGTCCCAGGGGATTTAGCATCACAGGCCCAGGGGGTAGTAAAGAAAGTAATAAAATCAGTGTATCATGCGTTTATTGGGCTTCTAGGTAGGAACCTATGAACGTATGATGCCGTTCCTTGGGACTCAAAGAGTTAATAGCTGGGCGATGGAACCTATAGACTCCTGGTCCAGAAATGTGGAATTTGCATCAGCAATCAGAGAGCCTTAGTATTATTTTACTAAGTTATTGTCTTCAAGTCACAAACACTGCCTTCTTTATACCCCATTAGGTATACATTTTGTAATTGTCTTGGTGTGAGAAATAAAGCATTTCTACTTACGTTGTAGGTTTTACCGCCTGGTTACACTGTCTCACTAGTGTTTTATGGGGTTGCTGTGATGTAGCGGCTGGATGCTCGCCTGCAAACCGGAAGATCATGGGTTGTGGGTCCTGACGGAATCGGGCTTTCCTCAAAAATGACCTTGGCTCCCAGATTGACCCAGCCTCGAGTGGGTACCAGGTGCAGTCCTGGGAAGTAAAGGTGGCCAGCGTGACGTTGACCACATCACCAGCCAAGTACCGATTGGTCTATAGCACTATATACCCAATATTCTTAAAGGCTTGGAAAAAGGTCCTTCACTTTATTTAACCTTTTTACTTGAGTTTTATGGAGTATAAACTATCAGTCGATTATACTAGGTGGTTTCTTTGCTTAACAGAAAAGTTGCTTGCATGTCCTTTCCTTAAGATTTCGTAAAACAACCCAGCATTTGTTAACTGTTGTGTGGTTTTACTAGGCAGTTTTACTTGCAGTCGTTGTTTCTTTAGTTGAGTGACTTGGGAGGTTGCTGCGCAAGACTTTTCTGGATGGCGTACATCCTGCAGGCATGGTGCATCGGCCTGCCAAGCAGCAGAGGTTACACAGGCAAAGAAATTATTTTCGTTGCTACTTTATAACTTCAGTGAATATGTGTTTTCCGATGGTGTTAGGCGACCTCTGTGAAAGGGTTGTTTGACCCCCAAAAGGGTCATGACCCACAGGCTGAGAACCACTGTCCTACAGCATGTGACAGAAGGCTGTGGACTTATATGATTACCAACACTATATGGTAAGGACTTTTTAAAGAGGAAACTACCCAACGGGAAACCATAATTGTTTTGAGCTACCCTAATTCAATAATTATATGTAAACTTTGTTGTTGTTTTTATTTGTTTGTTGTTGTTTCGGTAATACTATTATAATAAACAAGTTGATTCATCATTCTTTCCAGGGATTTTCCTGCTGAGTTCCAAGGCAGGAGGGGTTGGTCTAAATCTAGTTGGAGCATCAAGACTCATCCTATATGATATTGACTGGAACCCTGCCAATGATCTACAGGTTTGACGATGCTAACTTGACTACTTGCTTTCTGAAAATCTTTTCAGTCTCAGGTGATCACAATTGTTCACTGGGAGTCATCAGTGTTGCCACTTTAGATCTTTTATATCCAAATTTAGATCTTTTTCATTGCATTTAGATACTGTTTTTGACGTTTAGATCGTAAATAATTTTCTAGATTCTTTTCATATGGAGTTAGATATTTTACAGATTTTTTTTCCTTTCATTGTCAATTTAATAATTACTGTGTAAAATATTTACTACAATATTTTTGTTTTAGTCTGGCACGTACATTGTAACAACTGCCGTTACTTGAACTCTGAACTCTCCCTGGGGTCAACGCACAAATATCTGGCAGCCCCGGTACTGATTAATAAAAACGCGCGTAAATCATACTAACTTTGTTTCAACCGTATCCTCACTGTGCTGACTTTGCGTTTCTTTTTCATGTGATTTAAAAAAATAATTGCTCACCTTCTTATGTGGCTTTCACTTTGAAAAAAACCTTCAACATGCCAAAAGTAAAGTAAGAACAAACAATTTGGAAAGAGTGGTTGCATGATGACAAAAACTGGGGATATGACCAAAGCTTGATGTAAGTACTGCAAGTGTGAAATTAAAGCGAAAATACAAAACTCAAAGAGTCATGCAGAGACTAAAAAATCATAAAACTGCAGTTTCATTTAAAGATATTACACAGCTGACATCTGTTTTCAGAACTATACTGATAAATGAATCATTAAAAGTTGAAGTATCAGTCGCAATGTTTTTAATTTGTCACTGAGCAATTTCAAACTGTGACCAATTGATCGATTTGTAAAAAATCTTGGACTAGTTCAATTTGAAAAGTGTGGTGTAGAAAGTATAATTTAGGAACTGAAGGGCCTTTTAATCAGCAAACAGTTAGGCTTTAAGAATTTGGCTGTAATTGGTACTGATAATGCCTCAGTGATGGTTGGTATAAACAATGGCGTTTATGCCAAGTTGAAGGAAGCTAACCCATCGTTAATACTTATAAAATGTATGCGTCATTCATTGCAGCTAGCATTATCACATGCTTCATCTAAATATTTACAAAGGAATTTGGAATACCTTATTGCTGAAACACTTTACTGGTTTTCCAAATCATTTGTCAGACAACAGCAATACAATACACTATATACAGCCTTGAATGATGGTTCCACACCACCGAAAATTCTGTCAGATTACAAAACTAGATGGTTATCAATTTAACCATCTGTTGGAAAAATTATGAAGCAATGGTTGAAGTTGAAGACACACTTTGAAATAACAAGACAAAGTATACACAGCTGAAAATACTATATGGAATGTACAGTGATGAAAAAAATGTGTCATTCATTCTCTTTTTTATAACCTATTCTAATGGAAGTGCAAAAAGTTAATAAACTGTTCGAATCTAAACTTGTGATAAAGTTAAATTACTTGATGATCACACCTTGCTATTTCACTCGGTACAAGACTGGTGTGCAAACTTCTAAAAACTTATTTGCTCACTTGCACTATAGAGAGCTATTAGGCTCCTAAGCCACACCTTGAATATTAAATCGAATCAAAAATTGATGATTAAAAACAAAAGGATGTTAACAGAGAATGAAGAGAACAAACTTAAGAAAACGCTGTCAAGATTTCCTTATCTCATTATTGAAGCAGAGACTTCCTAAAAATCTAGATGTTTTGAAAAATATTTCACTTTTTTTCTGTGAGCAACATACTTAAGCCAATAAAGGACATACCTAAATATTGTAAAGTTATGAAATTTTTAGGGGCTACTGATGATAGTGTCGCGGAAGCAGATTATCAGTTAACCAAAGTAAAGTTAGTTGAATGGACAAACAAAACAGAAACTAAAGCGTTTTGGAGTGAAGTGAGACAATTTAAAGATGCCTCATCAAACAGTCCATTCTGTAAGCTCTTTAAAGTGCCATGTCTGCAATAATAATACCTCAATCAAATGCTGACGTAGAAAGAGTTTTCAGTGCTAGGAATTATATCAAATCTAACCTAAAAAACAGGATGAAATTTGACCTCTTAAATGCTATCGTGCCATTAAAATTCGGCCTGATGAGACTAGAGAAATAAGCCTACTGTTCCACTAATAAAGAAATTTGAACAGCTAAAGCATACCAGGGTCATTTTGGATCTGAAGCTTCAACTTCATTATCCAAGCTAAGTTTATCCTGTGAATCTTGTGAGGCAGACATCTTCTTCTTCTTCTTCTTGTGATGTCATTTTGTGGTTTACGGCTTGGCTGTGGTATCTGCATCTATCGAACCCCAACACATTATTTTTCAGCAATCCCTCCCCCCCCCCCCCCCACCCCACCCTTTTATGACATGCTTTTGAGGGGGTGGTCGGTGTAATTTTTTCCCCAGCAAAACAGGCCCAGGAACCCACACTGGGAATTGAGGAAAATAATAGCAATAACAAAACCACAAGTCTTTACTGGATCCCCTCATTATCTGTGATCTCATTTTACATGTTTTCACTAATATAACGTGATTTAGTGGGAAAAGCTATGAAAATATTGAACTGTACAGCAATATTGCAGTCACTGTGTAGGGTCCTGGTGCAGGCACGAGCTGGTCACATCTTATTAGTATTGGGGTAAGAGGGAGTGTTGATCTAGCTAGCCCTATTGCTGTAGAATATAGTTCATTCGTTTTTCAAGGCAGTGGAAACAAAGAAGCCCTAATTGTGACAGAAATAGTTCCCAAGTGTAAGAAACAATGGAAAGCTGTAATGCTGAAAAAAATTAGAAGTATTAAAGAAAATGAAAAAAAATATATGAATGCACTGATAACATTGTCAGAGCTGTAGGGCTGTTCCAGTTGTTAGGAAAGAAAATATGTGCGTTTGAGCTGAAATGCTATAGAAAGATTCTCAGAATACCATGGATAAAGAAGAGAAGAAATACTGACATTTTAAAAGATCTGAACATCAAGGAAGATTGGCTAATAAATAGCATCTTGTCCCGGAAGCTGAAATTCTTTAGTCATATCAAGCGCCATGACGGAATGGAAAAAAATTATAGCAGAGGGCAAGGTACCAAGAAGGAGGGGCAGGGGCCGACCAACATGAAGATGGGCACAGGATATAAGTGACTCCTTGAATATGAAAAGTACATGAGGTGGGAGAGCTGGCGAAAGACTGCATTTCTTTCAGACAGACCATAATGAGAGGGACGTTCTGCAAAGGACCTGCTGCATGATGATGATGGGACTGTCAGAATCAGCATTAAGGAGAATGATAAATTAAGCAGATTGAATAAAAGAAAGTTGGGCCAGGCTCTCCTGTCAACTACGGCCGGTAGACAACAGTAGACGGCCGGTTAGTCAGAGTTCTGTCCCCTGGCTGCAGTGCAATTACGGACTGGAGAAGGCACGAATCAGACCACAAAGTAAGGTTGACATGCCTAGCAGACCCCGCGCTGCGACTCACATTAGCGACCGCGTTCAATTACCGCTTCTTGCGACGCATTACGGAGTGGATTAGAGGGAACGATACACGTGACAGAATTACTGTGTGTTGGCGATAGACAGCGTGCAGTGCCCTACTGTCATCATACGGTGTGGCTTTGGGTTAGGGTGTGTGTTTGGGGTAGGGTTTGGGTTAGGTTAGGGTTAGGGTTGCTACTTTGAGTTTGTGCGACGACAAGATGCGGCGACACTACCCGTAACCCTAACCCACACCCTAACACTACACCTAACACACACCCTAACCCACACCCTAAACCAAACCCTAACCGTATGATTATAGCAGGGCAGTGCACGCTTTCTATCGCCAACATACAGTAATTATGTCATTTGTTTTGTTTCCTCCTGTCCAGTCCGTAATAGCACTGCAGCCAGGGGACAGAACTCCGACTAACCGGCCGTCTACTGTTGTCTACCGGTCGTAGTTGACAGGAGAGCCGAAAGTTGTAAACTTACAGTGAGAATGACAACAGTTAAAATAACACAGATTAGAACATCAGTTATGGAAAAATTAGAAAGAGGTGTTGGTCTAGTTCAGTGGTCGGCAAACTCTTTAGTCAAAAGTACCAAAAAATCAGTAGCAGGACGATTAAAAACAATTTTTTTGTGAGAGCCAAAATTCTTTTCAAGAACCATGTTTTTCGGAGTCAAAACTGATTTGGGGCCGACTTGCCGAGCCACACTCAGGTCGCTAAAGAGCTGCATTCAGCTCCCAAGCTGCGATTTGCTGACAACTGGTCTATTGTGTTGAACATCAAAAGAAACGGGCCATTTCTTTGTCCATGTTAATAATTATCCCGGCCAAGGTGAGAGGTTTGTTCGATGAATGAATGCTATAGAGTTGGTCCCTAAAGTGCCATCTTTTGTTGCGAGTACTGACAGGTCCGACAGAAATCGACCTCATCGCATTGCGCTGTTTATCCCACATTGAACAGTCTCACTCGAGGACAACTGCCTGCAAAAAGGGTCGCACAAAACATGAACTCAGTAACTCCATTGACGATTCTAATGGATCTCTGTAAAACCTATACGCACGAACTGAATGACATGTCCATGAATCAAACCCACAACTATCAGAGCATGTGGCAAATGATTTGACAGTAAAGACCCTATCATTATCTATCAAGTTTCCTAGCTATCATGAAGTTTTCAAGTTTATTTCTCCTCATAACATGCCCAAGCAAGTCTGTTTATGTCGTCTCTTGTTGTTCTAATCAAGTGATTTTCCAAATTTCTTTTTTATGCTCTGACTAAAGGTAGATGGGTGCTTTATTGGAAAACAAAATTGTGACGTTCACCCAGCATTCCCAGAGGGGGAGCTTTAGGTTATAACTGTGACTAGATTATGTGTGCCATATAAAATGGCTTAGCATTTCATGTAACAGATCAAAACGCATGATGAATACACAAATACATTTGGGACAGAAAGAGTTAAATGAATAATTCCAGGAAAAGCAGTTGTCTCATTGGCTGGTAATTATGTAAATCAGTGTATTAACTAAATTTAGCTAATGGAGGATAATGCTTGACTAAGCAGTTTTGCCTTCTTTAAAAGAGCTTATGACAAAAATACTATTAGAAAAAAAAAAAAAAACAGTGAAGTTCTAGTTTATCTCCATTAAAAAAAAGACATTGTTAAAGGAAATAAAAATAAGAATAACAAAGGGACAGTGATCACATCAAATATATGGACAACATACGGTAGACACACCAGAGAAGGGTACCTCACTGAGATTAATTTTGCACTTTAATGTTATTATGTCAGTGTCCATGCCTTAAGGGTTAAGAATGCATTTTCATAATTCCAACATAGAGCCAGACTGCTACTAGTACCATTGGAAATATGCGCTGACTGTTGAATATTGAGACTGAGCACTTATAGAAATGCCCTGGGTGCTGTGATGTTGTTTCTTAACTCAGCTCAGTTCAAACTTATCAGGGTCAATGCAACTGCATGCAGTTTGGCAACAGATCACTTTGCACTGATTTCAACAACGGTGTGAACTCCAACCACTCATGAAGCAGTGGCACTGAAAATACAATTGCTGTGTAAAGCTGCAAATAGTTCAACAAATATTGGTATACAAATACTGGTATTTTTATTAATCATCCTGTAAAGGGTATGTACCTAACTTTTGATGTAAATTGCTAAACAGCTGTTTTGTTCTTCACACCAATTCTTCTCTGGCATTCGACTTAGATAATAATTGTATGATTTAGTATTTAAAACACATTGTTTATAAAAATGTATGAACTGTCTTGTCTGTTTATAAAATGTTATGAAAAAATTTATAAACATTTTTTTGTTGCACAAAAAGGCTATGGCTCGTGTGTGGAGGGATGGGCAGACAGGAAAAGTGTACATCTACAGACTTCTTACTGTTGTAAGTATGGGTTGTATTCTAGTATTACAGTGCTCCATCTTTATAGGTTGTATTCTAGTATTACAGTGCTCCATCTTTACAGGTTGTATTCTAGTATTTCAGTGCTCCATCTTTAAAGGTTGTATTCCAGTATTACAGTGCTCCATCTTTACAGGTTGTATTCCAGTATTGTAATGCTCCATCTTTACATGTTGTATTATAGTGCTCCATCTTTACATGTTATATTCTAGTATTACAGTGCTCTATCTTTACAGGTGTATTCAGGTATTTGTTCTATCTTTACGGGTTGTATTTTAGTAATATAGTGCTAAATCTTTACATGATGTATTCCAGTATTGTAATGCTCCATCTTTATATGTTGTATTATAGTGCTCCATCTTTACAGGTTATATTCTAGTATTACAGTGCTCCATCTTTACAGGTGTATTCAGGTATTTGCTCTATCTTTACGGGTTGTATTTTAGTAATGCAGTGCTATATCTTTACAGGTTGCATTCCAGTATCATAGTGTTCCATTTTTACAGGTTACATACCAGTAACATATTGCTCCATCTTTACATGTTGTATTCCAGTATTGTAGTGCTCCAGCTTCCTAACAATAGTGCTACATCATCCTGATCATGTTTATATGTGTTTTTTTAACCAGTAGACATGGTGGCACTTGCAAGCATGGCTGTTTTCTGTTACATTAATAAAGCATTTGCAGATATGGTAACATTCTGTAACATGAACAAAACAATTGCAAATATGGTAAGCCATGGCCAGCTCCAGATATGAGGCTGTACAGCTCAAACGGGAATTCCCGTTTTTATAATAAATGGGCTATTAGAAAATAATTATCTTCAAAATGACAATTCACTCAATAATACATGTTGCTAATTAATTAAACTGTAGTTTAATTTGTGAATAAATCTACTCTATAACAATTTTTACTACCGACCGGCCACGCCAGCCTAAAAAAAAATGGGAATTTCCGTTTGGGCTGTACGGCCTTATGTCTGGAGCTGGCCGTGGGTAAGATTTGTAACAATAATGAGACACTTGCAGATATGATAAGATTTGTAACAATAATGAGAAGTCTGCAAAACAAATAAGCAAGATCTGTAAAACGGATGCACACGCAAAACTCAGGTCCTGGAACAAAGCCAAAGTCCAGAAATGGATGAACAACCAGGTCTTTCTGCCGGAGTTTACAGCCGGCAAATACAAACAAACAACACCAATGAAACACAGAAATTGGAAGATTCTGTAAAATTAATGACGCACTTGCAGATATGGTAAGATTCTGTAATATTAATGACGCACTTGCAGATATGGTAAGATTCTGTAATATTAATGACGCACTTGCAGATATGGTAAGATTCTGTAATATTAATGAAGCACTTGCAAGCGAGACTAGATTCTGTAACAATATAGAAAGAGATGCAGATGTCTTAAGCTCTATCTGCAAGTTTATTTTGGTTAATCAGCTAATGACAACATAATTCTAATGATTCTGTTTTTTTTTTAGTTTTTTTTTTTAATATTTTTGTTTTAATTCTGCAACAGTAAAGAAAAGCCTTGCATATATTTAGGGGTAGGACAGTAATATTATAGCTCATATGTAAAGTGAGATACTGTTACAGAAAGCACTTGCCTGTATGATATTATTATGTAATATTGCCAACAAAACACATACACACAGGCACCTGTTGGTTCTATTGTACTTAAAATATCTCAGTCAACCATATACATTCTTAAAAGATTTAAAATGAAAATACTTCATGTAACCACATACATTCTTGGAAAATTGAATAATCGGTTAACATATGAGCTTTTGTTAGTCAAGTTGATTTATCATAGGTGTATTATAGGTACGTTTTCTTCTGGCAGGGTACAATTGAAGAAAAGATTTACCAGAGGCAGATAACGAAGCAGGGTTTAAGTGGAGCTGTCATGGATGTCAGCAGAAAAAGCAGTGTGCAGTTTTCCCTAGAAGACCTCAAGGTGAGTGAGTACTACTGAGTGAATTATTAGGTGCAGGCCTATTGAGGATGGAAGGGAAGGAAGCAAGCAATAGACCCAATGTTCCTTAACAAGCATATTGTAGAAGGCAGCTAATTAAGGGTTTGCTGCAATCAAATGACCAGACTGAATTTGTCGACTTTTTCTATTCAGGTCAACCAGTTATAAGTATTCCTAACCAGACTTTGAATGCCATGGATCAAGATAAGAGAAGCTACTGATAACCTGCAGGGATGTTATGTATCAAGAATTTAAGTTTGAACAACTGATCAACATCATGGCACACGGGTAGTAACCCATAAGTGCTTCGTTCTTCTTCTAACTCAAGTCTGAGTAAGCTCAGCACAGTGCACAGGCTTTGTAGCACTGGCGAGGATCCTGAAATACTTTGGGTAGATTTTAAACTCCAAATTTTGCCCGGGCAGCACCGTTAGGCTACTCTTTTCGATTTCCAACTGTCAAGAGATTTTTCTCGTGTGCAACTCACTACTCAGAGGCCAGGGGAAATTGCTAGAAGTCAAAGTCCATGTGAAAAAATCCCAGCCCTTACCGCGGATTGAACCCAGAACCTCTAGCACTCGAGGCGGACACCATGCCTCGAGACCACGCAGTTCCCTATGTATCAAGATCAGGAAAGGAAAAGCTACTTATATTCTACTGGGGTGCAATGAATCAAGAAAGGAAAAGCTACTTACGTTTTATACAGGTGTGCAATGAATCAAGAAAGGAAAAGCTACTGATATTCTATGCAGGGATATGAAATGAATCAAGAAAGGAAAAGCTACTGATATTCTATGCAGGGATATGCAATGAATTAAGAAAGGAAAGGCTACTGATATTCTATGCAGGGATATGAAATGAATCAAATAAGGAAAAGCTACTGATATTCTATGCAGGGATATGCAATAAATTAAGAAAGGAAAAGCTACTGATATTCTATACAGGGATATGCAATGAATTACGAAAGGAAAAGCTACTGATATTCTATATGGGGGTGCAATGAATCAAGAAAGGAAAAGCTACTGATATTCTATACAGGGATATGCAATGAATTAAGAAAGGAAAAGCTACTGATATTCTATGCAGGGATATGCAGTTAATCAAGAAAGGAAAAGCTACTGATATTCTATGCAGGGATATACAATGAATTAAGAATGGAAAAGCTACTGATATTCTATGCAGGGATAGGCAATGAATCAAGAAAGGAAAAGCTACTAATATTCTATGCAGGGATATGCAATGAATCAAGAAAGGAAAAGCTACTGATATTCTATGCAGGGATATGCAATGAATCAAGAAAGGAAAAGCTACTGATATTCTATGCAGGGGTGCAATGAATCAAGAAAGGAAAAGCTACTGATTTTCTATATGGGGGTGCAATGAATCAAGAAAGGACAAGCTACTGTTTTTCTACAGGGATTCAATGAATCAAGAAGGGAAAAGCTATTGTATTTCTAAAGGAATTCAGTGTATCACGCCCTGTCATGCTGAAGGCTGACACAGATGCAATGAATTGTGTTAGCTAGATGTCCCGTAGACATGTCTTTTTAGCGAGTCGGGAAGCAGCTCTTACGGGAGAAAAAGTCCGGGCAGAGCTGTTCTAAATTACATAAAAAGATAGCAAGTCAGATGGTTTGCCCACTTAGAGAGAATGCCTTATGACACCATACAGTACAAGGCATACATGAAAATATAAGGACGTAGAGCACAAGGTAGATCAAGAACAATATGGAAAGATAACATCAGTTTGCTAGATGTCCCGTAGACATGTCTCTTTAGCGAGTCGAGAAGCAGCTCTTACGGGGAAATGGTACCAACTAGAAGTGTCAGTTTTGTGCCTTCTTGGGGGCAATAGGGTTAAAAGTAATCATGGGTATGAGAATTCTTGAGGCAGGGAAACTGGAGAGAGAGAGGGAGAGAGATTATCACAGGTGGGCTGTGATATGAACAGTGTGCTACAGAAGACCTGCTGCATGATGATGTGTATGACTGTAACTGTCTTGACTGCCTGTATGTACCACTTTTTAAGGCAATGTAAGATAGAAAGACATGGTCACTCGTTCTTCTTCTTCTTCAGCATTCCGAGCCCTTGAGGTTCATTGCTGCGGATACACCCGCCTCCATTCAGCCTTCTATTTTCACATGGTGACACCAAGTTTTTGCAGGTCTGATTGGATATTATCTCTCCATAGTCTTCTTGGTCTGCCTCGTGGTCTACGACCATTCATCTCTCTTGTGTTTACAGTTATTACTTCTCTGTCATCTGACATTCTTTCAATATGCCCCAACATTTCAGTCTATTAGCTCTCATGATGCCAGTGATCAGTGGTGATTTAAACAGATTATGAATTATGGTCACTCATAACAAACTAAAATTTAGAAGTCATGCAAGTGATTTGTCTGAGAAGGGTTGCAGAAGTGACCAAAAGAGATCAACTAAGAAATGAGGTCATAAGAGAAAAAGGTCTGGGCAGATAAACAGATTATGAATTATGGTCACTCATAACAAACTAAAATTTAGAAATCATGCAAGTGATTTGTCTGAGAAGGGCTGCAGAAGTGACCAAAAGAGATCAACTAAGAAATGAGGTCATAAGAGAAAAAGGTCTGGGCAGATCTATTCTAAATTAGATAAAAAGATAGCAAATCAGATGGTTTGCCCACTTAGAGAGAATGCCTTATGACACGATACAGCTCAAGGCATACAGGAAAATATAAGGACTTAGAGCACAAGGTAGACCAAGAACAATATGGAAAGATAACATCAGAGAAACTCTACAACAGCATGATATGTGTATGGTGGAGGTGGCCAGAAGAGCAAGAAGCAGAAACTTATATCACCCTTGTCACCCAAAGTGGTACAAGAGGAAGTTCCCCGTGTGGGTTCCATTATGGGGAAAACAAGAATAGACCCACTGCCTCCCCAACAAGCATGTTATAGGAGTGGACTAATTGGGGACTTCCTTCACAGTCGGAGTGCATCTGCCAGCGCGGCAAGGAACAACCAACTGCACACAAATAAGCCAGTAAAACGGGTGTACACACAAAACTCAGACCATGGCATAAAGCCAGAGTCCAAATGGACAAACAAACTGGAATTTCAACCGGAGCTTACAGCCGGTGAACAAAAAAGAAGGTACAAGAGTTAGTGAAGAAGAAGTAGGATATGGGGGGCTTTGGGCCTGAGAATTTAGGACCTGATGGCTAGTGCTGATGCCATGAAGTGTGTTGGTTAAGATGTTTATGACTCATGCTGAGGCCCCTAACTGTTTTTTCAGGACTTGTTCTCCCTCAACGAGGACACAGACTGTGAAACACATTCAATGCTAGACTGCCAGTGTGGTGGTGACCCGTCCTTTGTACATGAACACACAAAAGCAGATACTGTTGCTGAAGACAGACCATGTCAACTGGGCAGGCTTTCCACTACCGTTCAGAAGGTTTGTTTTATTAATGTCCTGTACTGCAGTTCTAAATTTTTACATCTCTTGAAGAGGATGAGAAATATTCTTTGCTCAGTTATATAATTTCACAGCATCTCTTGTAGAAGATAAGGAAGATTCTTTGCTCATTTATACATTTTTACAGCATCTCTTGAAGAGGATGAAGAATATTCTTTGCACTGTTATATATTTTTACAGCATCTCTTGCAGAGGATAAAGAATATTATTTTCTGTTTTACATTTTTACAGCATCTCTTGTAGAGGATGAAGAATATTCTTTGCACTGTTGTACATTTTCACAGCATCCCTTGTAGAAGATTAGGAATATTCTTTGCTCAGTTATACATTTTTACAGCATCTCTTGAAGAGGATGAAGAATATTCTTTGCACTTTATATATTTTTACAGCATCTCTTGTAGAGGATGAGGAATATTCTTTGCAGTTGTAAATTTTTACAGCATCTCTTGTAGAGGATGAGGAATATTCTTTGCAGTTGTAAATTTTTACAGCATCTCTTGTAGAGGATGAAGAATATTTTTTACACAGTTGTACATTTTTACAGCATCTCTTGAAGAGAATGAAGAATGCGGTTTCAGAATGTTGTGGACAGACATGATTACTAACGCTACACGGCATGGACTGTAAGAAGGAGATCTTTTGTAATAATTATGTAACTTATGAAGTTTTAGCACTGACATTTGTATAAATTATACTGTGTTCCAAGCTGTGTAGAGTCTTCTTTCTCATTCCTGTTTCAAGTTGACTGCATATCATTTAGCTGTGTGCCTCATATGTCACTGTGCCTGGCATATGCATGCTTTTGAATAAGGTTTGTCACCTCTAGTCAGATCCTGTCCAAAGTAATGGGCTCTATCTATCTGTGGGTTGGAATTTTTCCCTCAGACCGATTCGCCAGGGTAGAAGTCTTGCCACCTACTCTTTGCTGTGGTAAATTTAACTTGCACAATTTGCACTTGGGGCCTGTGTTTTGTATGTATCTTAGAAGTCTAGGTATTTGATCTCACAATCCAAGAGATCAGTGAGACCCGTAATTATTAGAAAGCATAATTTAAAAAAAAAATACTTTTTAGTCTAATGCAGGGAGTGAACTATATTACCTCTAAAAAACAAAAAAAAGTATTCAGAACAAATCAGCCACATCTTTACTTCGAAACCCTTTGATAATAATTAAATTGTTTATTCGTTTGTTTATTTGTTGTGACCTAATTACTAATTAGTCTTAATGAAATAATAATATTGGGTTTTCATCTTTATTTATTCTTTCAATAGAATATAACCTCTCATTATCTTACACTAGTGTTTTTTCTTGATTGGTTTTTTTGCAGTTGTTTTCAAATGAACAAAGCTTTTCTGTGTGATGATGTAACAAGGCTCATATCTACCCTGCTTTGTCACGTTTTATCGTTCGCTTCCTTTAAAATAAAAGCCATGGCACATGAATGGAACCAAAAGCGTGTTTTGAGATCAACAGTTTTGTTTTCAGTTAATGAAATGTTGCTCTATCCACAGAGCCAATCCTCTCATTTGACCATGGCAGAACTTTCACACACACTGGAGGGGAGAGTTTGTTTGTGGCCAGGAGGTGAGTCAGTACAGTATTGAGATTGGCAAAATTTCACCACACAGCTCCCAATAATGGGTACAGTAGTTGTAAGGGAGTAAATTTCTTGCTGTGCACAAATATGTAAATGAATATAAGAAAGGAGTAAATTTCTTGCTGTGCACAAATATGTAAATGAATAGTTAAGAAAGACAAAATAACTAAATCCTAAATGACCCTTTTTCACAATTTTGAGGCTTTATAGAGGCTTGTTTTTTTAGGAGCCCCACTGACAAGCATTGCTTCTGGTTTTGTCCACAGCAACTTTTTAGAATTCATGGGAATGAATATAGTTGCTAAAAATAGAATTTAGGCCAGGTTTTTATGTGTAGAAAAAGGGTTTATCTATAGAAATTAGGATGTCAGAGTTTTCCGTTAACTACAGTGGTAACTGATGGCCAGATCACACCAGACATTTTATTTTGAAGCTCAGAAATATGTAACTTAATCAGTTCTTAACCGCATTTGTGTTTATTCATTATTTCCGTTACTTTGTTTGCAATTAAATATTGGTTTTGTCCATCAATGAATTTTTTTTTTGGGGTGATGAAAAGTATAAAAATTTTTTTAAGGGATATATTTTAGGGAAAACCAGAAATTCCAAAAATACGGGTTTTGGGAATTATTTGTTGTTGTTTTTAGGCCACAGGGGTGAAAAGGTTAAACTCCAAGAATACATGCTGCATGCACTAGAAAATTGAAAATACACTTGCTTACTGCTGTTTAATGTTGTCTTTCAACAGAACTGGTGTTTGGATCAGGCTGGGCCGTCACTGTCTTTTGTATTTTGGCAGGACATCAATACAGGCTGAGTATCTGTTGCTACATTAGGTAGTTTAATAAAACTGCTAGAGGTGACTTCAAGTAAGGAAAGATTATGAACGTTTCAGAAGAAGGTGATATTAAATCTAATAAATAGGGTCATAAAAAATCCTGTAGAAAAATCAAAGTATGTACAAGTGAAAGGTAATCGTTTGGCAGGATCTGCCACTGGGGAGCAAAGAGGCCTTTGCATATTCTAGGCCATGTCTTCAGTAGCTCTCCAACTTCTTTTACCTGTATATAACTAAAATAACATTAGAATTGAAAAATTGTCACTTGTTTGTAAAACTACATAATTTAGAGTTCCATATTTTGTTCAGGCTTTTAAAATCTGCTGATTGTATGAAGAAATTAACATCAGATGTAGTAAAGCAAGCAGAAGTTTTGGAACACTCCCCCTTTCCCCCCCCCCCCCTCCTTTTTTTTCAACACAAGACAAGACCGATTGGCCAGAGGAGGTAAAATGGGGAATGAGGTCATGTGAGAAAACGCTGGCAAAGAACTAATTCTTATTATAAAGACAGCCAATCAAATGGTTTGCCTTAGAGAGAATGCCTTGTGACACCAAATAATACAAGGCATCAAAAAAGAAAAGTGACGAAGAGCACGAGGTAGACTAAGAACATTATGGAAAGATAGCATCACAATGTGCCTATGGTCAAGGCTGCCAGAAAAGCAAGAAACAGAACCTTATATCTCCCTCGACACCTGAAAAATAAAAACAAAATAAAAAGGAAGTGAAGTAAAAGATGCCTTTTTAGTGTTTGCCATAATTTTTTTACTATAATACTTACATGTAGAGATATGTGTGCTTTGTTTATTTTGCAGGATCTCTGCATACTCTTTTTGTTTTTGATTTAATTTGGTAATCTTAAAAAAGTGGAACAGAATTCAGAATGAATGCATACCTCAAAGCTTGGCATTTAATGTTGTTACTGTTGGTGCCTTCCTGTTTTTCCAAACCCTAGTGTTTCAGTCTAGTTTGGGGAAACATGGATATACTCATTAAATGGATCAACATCATGGCACAAGAGTAGAAACCCATAAGTGCTCTGTTCTACTTCTAACTCAAGCTTGAGTCTGAAGAATCTCAGTGCAGTGCACGAACTCTGTAGCACCGACGACGATCCTGAAATACTTTGATTAGATTTTTAGCTCCAAATTAGGTCACTCTTTTTTATATCCAACTGCCAATGGATTATTTACGTGTGCAACAATACACACGGGCGTCCGATCTAGCTACCCATAGACCAGGGGAAATTACTGTATTAGATACTAATTAAAGCCAGGGGTTAACTTCCGCCTTTCAGTATCACAAAGCCTGGCCACTATTGTTCCTGCTTTAACTCCTAAAGGAAAGGTAACACCAATATGTTTGGAATAAAGCATGCTGCAAAAGCTGTTGGATCAGAAGAACAATGTTGTGCTTCTTTTCTAGACCAGCTGCTAACCAAGGCTAAGGGCCTTGTCTGCCTAGCATTAACATTAGGTTTTCAAGTTGCCATTCCTTGTCCTAAAATAAGGTTAGTAATAAAAAATACACTAATAAAGCACTAATTCGCTTGAAGCTGGTATTTAATGTATACTTCATAACATTTTTTCTTTCTTTTTAAATAAATTGTTGCATTTTGTCACTTTTTGTAAATTAAGTCGATAGACTTCATTGCATCAGGTTTTATCTCATTTGGCTCGGTCTCTCTCTGCAGAACAACTAGCCTCCCCCCGAGAGCGTCACACAAAGCAAAAACACCAAAGCTTTGGCAGTGATCCTGAATCTGTCAAAACTGCCCTAATGAACTGAGTGACGTCGTGAAACAAACCCACCACCTTCAGAGCGCAAGACAAACAGCTTGACCCCAGAGGCGCCGAATGGTTTAATGTTGAGAGTGACTTTAATACCCAGTGTCCATCACTTTAATGACTTGTGTCCTTCACAATATTGGCTGGCCCTAGCCTCTTCTTTCAATAACTACACCTTCAAGTACAACTCCTCCATCACTATGATGCCAGGACAGCACTGCTGGCAGATAAATACTCTCAACTCCTATACCATCTTGAGGTTTAAAATCAGGAAGATCGACTTCAGTGCACCTGGTTTTATATCCTACATGACTAGGTCTGTTTCGCAGAATGACAAGCCACATGCCAAGAGCGTCACACTACGTTTGAAGCGTCCTTTAGTTTTATGCAGTCCCTTCAGATCCAGTCGTTTATTAAAGTAATAAATTCTGAGGAGATAACCAGGGGGGAAAATGTAACCCTCTCTTCCCGATTTTCTAGCCTTTTATTTGATATGATGTCATAGAAAAATGCCCCATACGCCTGTATGACAGCTTTGGTACTGGCTGTAGCTGTATGTTGTACAGACATGGTGGGTATAATTATGTTTATCCCTAAAATAAAAAATATTTTTAACAATTGTGTTGTTGCAGTGACATCAGATAATTTCAATATTATGTCACATTGCTATCAAAGGCAAAGTGACCAAAATCACTTCTACTAAAACGGTCAAGGGAAAATAATCGGTTCATTTTTTGCTCTTTTTTTTTTTTAAAAATATTTAGTGATTATATCTCTACACAGAAATGAATTGTTTCCTGATTTATATATTTTATCACTGGATCAACAGTAATTTTTTAGTAACATGATGTCAACAAAAACAGAGGACCACATCAAGAAAAACTATATGAGGAAACCCACCTCATTAACAGTCAGAATAGATTGTCTGCCTTACTAAAACTCAGAATCCCCCCCCCCCCCCCCCCCCCCCCCCCCCAACTCAGGTGCTGCTGTTTTGCACCAGTTTTCACTTTTACTCACATCACTTGCCACCAAGACCAAAAATACAGAAATGAGTTTCAACTTTCATCCTTTATTAAACTTTTTCACATATTTCAAGTACACATATGTACACTAAAATGAATCTGAACTGCATCTACTGAATATGAACACACTTTTATGGCAAAGATGAATCTTAATATGCACAGAAAGTTCATCTTATTATTGGCTGTGTCATTACTCTTCTAAACATAAACAAGTGTTGCATATAGAGTTTTTCTTCCAACCTTTTTACTTTTACAAAGCATTACATTATGAAATTGTTACTTCAGTGATACTTGGTTAGCATATAACTTTCTGAGGCCTAATCTCTTAACAGTGGCTTTATAAGAACTCTGTTCATTTTAAATAACAGATTGATGATTGACCTGGTTAAAGATGACACCTTCAAATAGGGGTGTCCAGCTGAAGATGATACACATTTTAATGGAGGTGTCTAGTTGAGCTGGCTAAAAATGAGCCTTCTAGCTGACAATGATACTTTTTATGGGAGGTGTCTGACTGCATCATAACACATCATTCTGCCAGTGAACTTTTTTTTCTCATTTAAAAGATATGGTTTGTGTGGTTGTAGCTTTGAATGTTTATACTGCCTAGTATGTCCACTAATCAACTTGCTTCCATCACCCTTGTCAGTGTCAATCTCTACTTATTTCCACTACTTCTGTCAATGCCAATCCTTCCTTGAGAATTTACTTTTCAAGCTCTACAAAGTTTGAAACTGCAATCTTTCAACAACGTGAAACAAATACTGCTAACTATCTCAAGTAACTGAGCCAGTTTAAAAAAAAAAAAATCTGTTTCCTACTTTTTTTTTCAAAAGCCACATACTTTTTTTCTTCTTCACATTTTGATTGTTAATAGTTTACAGAAATTCAACATCTTCAATCCTCTTCTTCTTTTTTAGAATCTTACCTCTTCTGTGTTAAATTAAATATTTACTCTGATATTACACAAATTGCAGTGTTTTGGCAACACAAGGAATCGGGAAGTATTTCATGCAAGGGAGCACAATATCCTGTGGGGGTAGAAATTAGCAGACAATTCATGGAGGCAGACAATGTTTACAAACATAATTGTTAAAACAAATATCAAGTTGGTTGTGACATAAAATGATTGGATTATGAACACAATAGTTCCTGTGCTTACAAGCGTCCCTGAGCCTGCGGTTGTTCCACCACCACCACCACCCCCAATAATAATAATCTAACCAAGCAATAAATGTTATGCAGCTTTATGGCATCAACTGATGAATGTTGTTCTCATGCAATATGTGCTACATAAACTGTATACAATTAAATAGTGAGTAATCATGATCGCAGCCTACCACCATTCTTATGACACCTCAGCAAAGATCAACTCTCTCAATCCCAAACCACATGTGATGTTTTAAGTTCTCTTCCTGTGTATAACCAACACTATGTTTTTTTTTTTTTAAAGGGTGGCCAAATCATAACTAAGAAATCTGGCTGTCATAAAAGAAACACCTTGCCTCATTATGTTTTTGGCTTTTAAAAGATAGTTACTGCTCGACACAGTTTAGACTAGGAAGCAGAGTATCTGGCTAAGGATCCACTCGTGTCGGCCAATTACTGATTTGCTCACAATAACACCATTTGCTGATAATGAGATAATTTTCATATATATCTGTTGTTTACTTTACAAAAGAAAATGGGGTAATAAAACCCAGAACACAATTTATACCTAGTATCCATTCTCATTAAACAGGAAAATAAAATAATGCTAATAAAAATGGAAAAAAAAAATTGTGATTACACAGATGGAGAAAAGCAGCTGCATATTAATTCATGACTGTAAGATGGAAAGCTAAAATTTGCTAAAAAGCAACATAAATATTGTCTTCTCATTCCACGCAGTAAGCATCAAGATCAGAAGTACAGTTCAGAAAATATTTGAAGTAGAAGTGACTAACTTGGAAAAAAAGTGTAGACTGTCAAATATGAATGACAACTGCTGTATTGATGGGCATCAAGATGTTTTAGTAGACAACACAGTCAAACAATATAAATAAAAACAGAAAACTCTTAGACAAACTTTTTAAAAAATTAAATCAGATATCCGACACTTCTACATTTTTAGTTTGCAGCATTTACCAAGGAGAAACCTGTCCCAGCCATACACAGCAAAACATATCATTTAGAAGAAAAAAAGGTGTTTTAAATCGGGTTTTTAGGGAACCAATTAATTAATAGGGTCTTACTAACATGGCTAAAGATGACCCGGCAGAAGGTAACCTTTAATGAAGGGAGGTGTTTAACTGATCCAGCTGAAAATGACATTTTTTTTCAATGGGAGTATAGTTGACTAGCTTAAGCTGAAACTTTAAAAAAAGGCTGAATCAAAACACCCTAGTTCCCCTACTGAAGCTGTTTACATTTGGGGAATCATTTCCCCCACTAACGGTCATTTGGATTTTTAGAATCATCAATGACAGGCCATACAGAATTGACCTGCTATATTTTGTCCAACATTTAAATGTGGTCCTAGTAGAATCAGATCCAATGATTAAGCAGACCATATATGGTGCACCTGGTAGATGTTCCCCATATAAAAAGCAGAATTCTTTCTAAGATACAGGTGTTGGTTATCAGGAAACAGACTGGTCCTCATCATTTGTGAAGGATGAACATTTGAAGTTCATAATTTTGCTTTTACTAGCTTTTTTTTGTTGTTGTTGAGAAAGTGAACTGAAATAAAGTAAGTTCTCTACAAGCATTTATCTATCTCCACCTGCCTAAACACATCTGCTACTGACCCAAAGGTCAAATCCACAAGGTCATTTTTTTTAATTTGTTAAATCAGACTTGGCTCCCAGGTGGACCCAGCCTAAAATACCAGGGTAGTAAAGGCAGTCAGAATGGCGCTGACCTCATGACCCACGGATGCGTCACTGGCTAATAAGGGCCTCAGTTTACTAAACATAATTATATTAGTGCTGTGACTTGAAACTGAGCAGAAAAGGGGGAACTCTGCTCCATAAAGGGCATGGGGAAAAAATGCAACCAAGATCAAGAGAATTATATATAGGTGAATTCGACAGGGGTGATTTGAATGAGATGGCAAAGAAAACTTGAAAGGATGGGGAACCTCTGTTCTATAATGGATAAACTTTTCCACCAGAGTTTACAGCTGGTGAACTAAAAGAAGTTGAGGGCCATGCCCCATTTGGGGGGTTCCTCTTTGTTCCATAACCGATAGTAACAAATTTCCCCTAAAATCTAACTTTCCCTGTTATAATTACCAGCCATGTGTCCCTTAACTCTCAGGCTTTAGACCCCCTTATTCTACATCATTTAAAAACGAAAAGTGAAACTGTTTAAAAGTAAAGTTAATACACTTGTGACCCATTCTCTGACTTGGCTGTGTTTCTCACTAGCTTGGAATTACCATTTCCTCTTCATTCCCTCGAGACCAGCAGATCTCAATCTGTGAGTCGAATGACCCTTTCACAAGAGTTGCCTAAGACCATTGGAAAACAATTACTGATTGAAGTTATGAAGTAGCAACTTAATAATATGGCTGGGGGTCACCACAACATGGGGAACTTATTGAAGGGTCACAACATGAGGAACTGTACTAAAGGGTTGTGACCTTAGCAAAGTTGAGAACCACTGCTCTAGACAAAACTTTATTTGGGTAATATTCACACTCTAACACAAATCTGTCACTGTGAAAACAGATTTATTAACTTGTGTTAAAAAAAGAACATAAACCACTTGGCAGTTTGTAATAATTAACAAATTCTGCACTGAAGGTAACTGCAAGTGAACTAGATTGAAAAACTATATTAAAATGTACTCCTAGACTATGATGTTCCTAAGTTCTAACACAAAACACCAGAATTTTAAGACTTCATTGGAGCACATTCTGTTTGTGGTGAATACAGAATATTAATGCGCAAAAATAATATGAATACCATGAGAGAAGATACAATTTCATCTTTCTATTTATGACATTTGGAACCATCTTTTATGCATTTGTCATTTGTATATGTGCCATGTTGGGTCTATGTCTGTAATCACTGGGCATACTTCTGTGTCCATTCTCTGGCCATTTTGTTGTACTTCTCACGATCGGTCTTGTAGATACGAGCAATCTCCGGTACTAAAGGATCATCAGGGTTGGGGTCTGTGAGCAGGGAACAAATGGACAGGAGCACTGCAACAGAACAGCCATAATTTCATTAGCACAAATTCCAGCCCTAACCCACTGACCGCCAGGGTCACATGTTATGCAATCGACTGATGGTTACACTTTGCTACTTTAATCACACTCCCGTGATCACAACTCTGAACGCTCGCTATCACTGTAAAATCATGAGTTGTGTGATCAATGATATAGCTGAATCTATTAGCGGTTCCGACACTGATAGGGAATGGCTGACGGTTGAGAACTTGGCTTATATTGACCGTTCTTGTCGCCGTTTCTTCTCCAGTTTCGGGTTTGCAAGATTGTGGAAGTCCAATTTGAAGCCGGAGCTACTGAGTTTAGTGCTCCTAGCAGCAATATGATCTGTGATTACTGGTTATTGACTGCGTTCTAGATTTGTACATAACAGCAATGATGGGTGATGTATTTTTCTTCGTTGCGTTCCTGGGACAAGGCGTGTGCTACAGCTGCTATTGTTTTGCTGGCCGTGGCTGCAACTTGGCTGAGGACGTGCGGAGAATCGTCAGGAATAATTTTAATCTATCCATCACCCAGCTATTCGTTGAATGAAGTTGATTTTCAGCCATGACGACTGGTCTCACAGTGTGGGAGGCTTGCACCTTTCGGTATGCCAGATCAAATCGTGTGTGTTTTGCTGACTGAGGACACTTTGTTTGGCTACAGCATTCACTTGAAGTATCCACTTTCTAAGTTTATGACTGGAATCACTGGCATAGGCAGTTGAGCATTATGGGCCAAGCTCGTTTGCAGTGATGCCCGAACCGTAATGACTAACTATTCATTTCTCTTCGCTTCTTTAAGGGAAACAACAATGAAGTAACTGTTCACAATTTTTATAGTGAACTCCTTTGTTGGTGGTGTATTAGATATTTTAATCACAGCATCCCATTGTCTAAGCGATTCATTGTAACGGCAACATTATTTGGGAATGTTTTTGGTGCTACTGGTGGATTTCATGAGTATTCACCAGAAGTGAAGGTGAAGATATTTCTGACAGGACTGGTGACTGATATTTCCTTAGAACTGTTATCAAAAACGAAAGGGCAGCAGGTCACTTTAAAATCAAGTATAACCGATGAGGTTCCATACAAGACTGCTGGCAGTTACACCGGTTACAAACCCGTGTGACAGTTATGATAGTTCTGCTAAGAGTATTGAGTCAAAGTTAACAGATTATGAAGGCACTGAGTACCAGTCAGTGTGTCGCCGACATGGAAGCTCACCATAAAAATTCGTGAAAATTTTACTATAAGCACTAGTTTTTCCCCCTCCTTTTAGCTTTTTGAGGCCCGAGTAAAGCTGTGTGTGTTGACTGAGAAGTTCTCATTTGCCCAGTGTCAGCGTTTATCATATGTGCCATAAATACTGATTCGCATACGGCTCCGTATGTGTTTTTAATGCTCTGAACTACAATTATAGTATTCAGGGGAGGTTACTCTATTGTTTTTCTTTGTATACAAGTCTTTGTTCTCATATTCTGGGCGCCAACTAATCCCATTTATTGTAAGCAGTGGATTTTCTAATTTCATGTTAGCCATGCATACCAATGTTCCAACAAAAAAGTATAGGCAGCAAAATGCGAGTGTTTCAGACCATACTTAGCTACTCTTAAATCATTGTAGGTACGGTCTGTATACAACAGTACAAAGTAAATGTGTGTGTAATGGTCCATTTTTCTGTCATTTGTTGTCTTTGAAATTTTGTTCAGTGCTATGTGAGAACTTAAGAGCCTCCGAGCACTAAACTAACCCAGAAACTTCTAACTTTGGAATTTGTTAGGAAATTGAACAAACTTTAAAGTGGTATTCCCAAATCTGGATATTCACACCTTACCTTTTGAAATGGTCAGAGCAGGTGACCATTGTGACCTCAATATATCCAAACAGATGCTGCCATTGCTGTTTATATTTGGGTGGTAGATTCTCGTTGTGAAGGCAACCTTAACAATGACAGAAGCAGTTAATATCTATACATGTGCAAGGTATGATTCAACACAATTTTTTAAGACTGCTGTATTTTTAAAAACATAAAGACCCCTGAAATTGCTAGGTTTTGTCTTATCCTATCACCTCAAGCAGCCATAAAACAACTTCCAGTTGCATCAAATTCCCCATAAATGTCCATTTCTGACTTTCCTTTTTACAATACACATAGTTAAAATACTAGTGGCTAAGTTCGCCCCTGTGCAGCTTTAACGTGGTCAGAAAATTAATATAGCTTTAGAGGGGTTTAGGTTTAAATGACAGATCAATATCACAGCACAAAGGTAGAACCAATAAATAGTCAGTTCTACTTCTTACTCAAGCCTGAGACTGAAGAATCTCAGCGCAGTGCAGGAGCTCTATAGCACTGGTGAGGACCCTGAAACACTTTGGGTAGACTTTTACTCAAAATTTTGCCCAGGAACTCCAACACTCAAGGGGGACGTCATGCCCCGAGACCATGCAGCCCCCCCCCCCCCCCCCCCACTGCCTGATAAGGGGTGAATATACAGTGATATTTCTGCATTAGGTTCGCAGCACAACTTGGCATAAGTCAGGTTTAGACGCAGTAATAATAATTTGCCAGCTTTTTCGATAAGCTTGTAAGGAAGGCAGTGGGTCTTGTGTATTTAATTTTTTTTGTTGTGTGCTTAGAATAAAAACAAAATACTGGCAACAAATTAGGATAAATATTTAGCATCTATCTGCTCATATATGCAGTGGCTACAATGCTTGCCTCTTCACCTAAACCTAATAGTGTAGAGTTCAAATCTGCCCAGGATTTTATATATATATATATATATATATATATATATATATATATATATATATATATATATATATATATATATATATATATACCATATATATATATATATATATATATATATATATATATATATATACATATATACACACACACACAATTGACTAGCTCCCAGATCAAACAAAGCCTGAAATGGATGCCAGAAAATGTCCTGGGAAATAAAAGTGGCTGGCAATATGTTATCACAGCCGACGTGCTGACTGTCTATAAAAATGAATCTAGCATTATATGCCCAATACGCCATGGATACGTGATGAGGTTATCACAGTTCCAACTTCACAGCAAATAGGTCAACCCACAGATACTCTATTCCTGTGCCAACAAAAACCTCACAGAATTATCAGCGTTGCCCCTTGTTTAAAATAACAAAAACATGGACACATAACTAAGTATCAGCAATGCGTATACACATGCATCAAATGCATACGGCAGCTATCCAAAATGCCAGTATAAATAGTCCAGCACTAGAACTGCAGCTCATCAAGCAGCAGCAATTAAATCAATAGTTGCCCACAAATTTAACTGTACAACGTACTGCCAATACTTTGGTAATAGGCCACAAGCCAATTTTCTGAATCTGCAGTTAACATCACAAACTATGTTGTGCATGGTCAAAAAGATTCCAAAAGATATTAGCAATTCAGTGTTAAGCCATGCGCTAAACTCAGTAGTTGAACAACGGAATAATATACTTGAAATCAACATATCAGGAGAAATGCAACTGTTAACTGCAGCCAGAAACAAAAACTTTCCATGACTTTAAACAGCAAGCAAGCCTATCCGCCATACTGGATCACTAAGTAAGCAAATAAATAAAAGACGTGAAAAGATCTTTCTTTTATTTAATGTTCTATGAAGTGAGATATTTAGTTAAATGTCAATTCATTTACTGTCTCTGTTAAATACATGGGATTTAAAATTACTCAAAAGTTGTATATAATCTAACATACTCTGTCAACACAACCGTCGCCTTACCTTTGGTGGCTTGAATGGGTAGTCTGTAGGGAAGTTTATCGTTAAAAAGAACACACCCTGAGCATATGGGCTGTCATTCTACAAAACAATCAAATGTATATTACAAGTTAAGATTTTACTGTTATTGACTTCAAAGTACTAAACTTACAATTAAAAAGTACAGTAAAACCTCAACACAAATTCGCTTAAGATTATCATTCCCTTAACGTGAACACATGTGGGTACCAGCAGGGATAAAATAATCACAATTACACCTATTAGCCCCCCCCCCCCCCCAACCCGCAAGCCAGCACAAATTATTTGTCAAACAAACTCCTGATATGTAAGTCCTTCTGAATTTGTGTTAACAAGGTATTACTGTAGTTATAACAGATTATTTCCACACTGGAAAAAAATGCATTAGAATATTATTTAACAAAGCAACTGATAAATTGCAAACACATTTACTATGATGAATAGTTATTCCTCAGCAACCTCTGCTATTCATCTCTGTAAGCACGAGGCATAAACAAGAAACATTCGCTTTGTGTTCTCAAGTCTTGTAACATGTGCATCTGCTAGTGTGAATGCCATTTATTTTGTGAACATGGGCTGCTGTTTACAAGTCTTAAATCAGCGTCTGTGGCTTAGGCATTGCGAACGCGCTTTATAATGTCGGGTTCAATCCCAGCCGCGGACAGTTTGTCTTGCATTAGTTTCGACAGTGGTGCCAAGGGCAGACCTTTCAGAAAGGGATGGTTCAGCAACATCCTGTAAAAGATACGCAACTAACCTGATGTGGAGAGTTAACATGGTTGTATGTGGTGCTCTGTCAAGTGTTAGAAAAGGATTTTGTGGATAATTTCTACCTTTCTTCTTCTTCTTTTTCACATTCATTGGATGTCAAACTGGTGCGCATTTCTGGTTGTCCACCTACCACTGGACTCTAGTCTTGCTTCAGAGTGTTACATGCATATCTGTTTTACCTGTCAGACTGTTGGTTCCTTGTCTCTCAGGCAGATGCATTCTGACTTTGATGGAAGCCCCCCCCCCCCCTACCTAATTAGTTGACTCTTACGACATGCTGGTCCTGTTCACTTATCCGGGTTGACAAAATGAAAAATAACAGCTGCAATAATGTGCTACAGCGAAAAAATAGCCCAAACTACACTTAGGTGACTCTGCCATAGTGCCAAAGATCTGACCACTGGAGTCTCCATGGGGAAGTGGCTAAGCTGTTTGCCTTGTGCTCTAAAGAATGTGAGTAGTTAAGATTCTGTCCTTTGGTTCAAAAGTGCAGGGGTATTGGTGATCCCTGAGGGTCACTGCTGGATATACAGAGTTTGTGCTTTGTGGCATCATCTTGCAGACAACCAGCCACACTGACAAAACAGAAAGACCTGCAAAAACAAAGCCAATCCTAGAGTCTTTAACAACCTTATCTGATCATTCTCTCTGCTTCTTCTTAGCATTCATAGTCTGTAAACTCCAGTGGACAGTTCTGATTGATCACCTAATTCTGGACTTTATACAATGATTTAGCACAATATTTTCAAAGATAAGTCTATGATCAAGCTACAAATCTGGAGTGGAGGAGTGACAGGTTTCAACTTGTTTGTATAGCAAAATAATTATTTAAAAAAACAAACAAATAATGTGGTGTCGTTATTCATGTATACTTTTCCTGTTGCAAATCTACATTTCTGTAAGATATGGAGTTTTATTTACAAACTATTATTCTGACTGACTGTCTACTTGTGGACTTTGGGTTTTGCTCAAGTACTTGAGTTTTATATGCAAATTTTTTTTTTTTACAGATCTGGCTTATTTTAATGCAGACTTGGTTTCTCACCTCTCTCCAAAGATATTTTAGTCAATCACCTTTAATGTCATGCTTCTCAGGCAGACAGTGGGTCTACTCTTTTCCCCTATCAAGATGCATTCATCCATATGTTCTTTTTTGTGCAGTTGTTTGAATATTAGGGATGGTCCAGTATTGTTGGCCTCTTTTATCAACTCTTGTTTTAGGGCATCCTTGTTCACTGAATGCATCCCCCCCCCCCCCCTCACATGAGTGCCTATTTAATGATTCTCTGTTCACTTCTCAGGATATATCATCATCTTATGTAAAGACAACATTGCCCACACAGAGCCGATTGTTCTTTAAAATATAGGTCTAACCCTATACGCCCATTACACCAGAAGGCATGGATAAGGGTCCTTTTACTTTATGTAAAGACACTACATAACATAAATCTGATTTCTGACTTCTTCCATGCTCACAAAACATAAGAGAGATAAAGATCTTTGTACAACAGTTTTTACAATTAAAACAAATTTGACAATTGTTACAGTAACTTATACACTGCCACAGCACATAAACAACTAACTCACTGGCCCTAGTATGGTTGCCTGCCACTGGAACACTGAAAAGAAATAACAAAACGTGTTGTTACATGCTGTCATATATGTTTACAACTGCCATTGCTGCCTGATGTGGAAAGGGGGGGGGGGGCTAGTGCTGTCACCATGGACTCTGCAGGTTAGCATTTTATTTGTGCCCCCAAAAGATACAAATCTACAATCTTAGCGAGGATTTGAATCTGGGTTTTCAACAGGAGAGACCATAGTTCTTAACTGTTCAGTATGTTTATAATTTTAACTTTTCTCTCATAACTGTTCAGTATGTTTATAATTTTAACTTTTCTCTCATACATGTTTTACCGAAACAAATGAAATTAGGAAAATAAAGGTTTCATACTTTTTACAAACAAACATAGAAGCAGAACAGCTGTTTTTTTTTTAAGAGAGTTAATCATTAGTTTACTCGTATTAAAAGTAAACTCAAGGCAATGATTAACATTATATCACTACTTATCTCTGTATGTTCTTTGATGTACATTTTAGGAATATTTCTGTCAACTTTTTCATTTAGATTTCAATCATCCTCAACATTTCTCTTTTTGCTAGTTCAGACTTATTCTCAACATGTTTCCCTTTTGTTTCTATTTAGATTTTACACACATTCAGCACTAACCAGTTTACAACCTCATTCTAGCACATATTCTTTTGTATCATCATGCAGTACCAGCACCATTTTGGGCCAAATTTTCCAGCTCTTCTGTAACAGATACTTTGTGATGAGGATTGGCCCCTTTAATAAACATTATATATTGAGTATCCACACCTTTTTCTATCTAGGGGAAATAAGCCTGGTAATCAAATAAAATCTGTGCTTTTACTCAAATGTTACAGGAAGAGTGTTTACGAGTATCATTGAAGAAACGAACCTCACACAGCTCTCCAAATACCACCAATTTAAAAAACAACCCATGCACAGCCGACTGCAAAAACACCAGAAGGCTAGACTAAAGAGAACATGTTTTATTAAGAAGGCAAATGCCAAGCTCGCTGTCCTTAAACTCCCTCCAATAATACCAAATGTTCCACTTAAACCTTACAACGACTGCCCCCCTTGGCTCAGGGACAGCCTACCAACAGTCAGAACCACTGTAACAGGGATCTCCTCCAAATCATCAATGAGCAGCACTGATATTAAATCAACTACGGAAGAAGAGATCAATAGACTTTATCCACACCAGAGTTGTATTCGAGTGTACACAGATGGTTCAGCCAAGAGGGCAGTAAGAGACGGAGGAGGAATATACATAGAATGCCCAGATGGTTTAAAAATCAACCAGGCTGTACCAACAGGTGCATATTTCTCCAATTACAGAGCAGAGGCAGAAGCACTTCTAGCGGCATGTTTTTACCTGAATGGACAACAGCACAGCAAATATAGCAGAGTGGTCTTTCTGACTGATGCTATGTCAGTTCTACAAGCAATTGTTAACCCAAAAAGACACTCAGTTTGTAGACTTGACGCAACAGCTGATTTACTTAGGCTCTTCAGTAGAACAATCTGTACTGCAGTGGATTCCAGGTCATTGTGGCTTGGAAGGCAATGAAATAGCGGACAGATTGGCCAGAAGCGGCAGTGACATGGTACAACCAAATAGCGACTTAACCCACCAAGAGATGAAAACATTAATACAATCTAGTATCCAAGAAAGGTGGCTGGATACCCACACCAGATTTTCTCCCCAAGACTCACTTCATCGCCTCTCTAGAGAGGGACAGGGCATTATATTCAGACTAAGGACTGGGCACAACAGATTTCGTCAACATATGTTCAAAATTTTTGGTGTAGGAAATACGGAGACGTGTCCCTGCAGCGTGGCACCCGAAAATGCTGAGCATGTGCTCCAACACTGTCAACTGTATGCTGACAACAGAGACGCAATCTGGCCTGTTCCAACCACACTGAAGACAAAACTGTATGGTACACAAGAGGATATGGATTGCACGATAGCTTTCATAAAGGCTACCGGCCTCCTGATATAAGTTTTCTAACAGAAGGATCGAAGAAGAAGAAGATTGAAGAAAACAATGACATTCGTGATAGTCAGAACACTGAGGAGAACTGGCTCATTAGCAAATGAGATGATGGCCACAGACTATTAGGCAGACCAAGATGACAGTGGAGAGACAATATCCTACAAAAGAGTCAGCAATTGCGAACTTCATATTGCCATCAACAGTGGGAGCCACAAACCACAAGGAAAGCAGCATATTATTATCTTTTTAATATATCAAAAATTTTCTTATTGTATATCTAAAAAAAAATTTTAAAGTTACCTCATTTTTGTCTACAAACTACTTTTTTTTTTCTCATGGGGATACTTATGCTTTAAACTCTGGTAAAAGTTTTGGTTATTCATCCAGTCACATATTTTGGTCTCAGTCCAGGGCTTTAGATGCGTGCACACATCAGTTTTACGGATCTGGCTTATTTATATGGATTTTTTGTGTTTTTTACCTCCTTAAGAAAACACCCCGCATTGGTCGTATTTTATGAAATGATAGTTAAGCAGGTAGTGGGCCCGTTCTTTTTTAGTCAAATAGGGCCCGAGACCTAGGATGTACAAGAGAATATAAACATGGCATATAAGAAAAAAACAAATAACTTACAGTCATCTCCAACTGGCCCTGCAGAACAGTTTGTTGGTGGATCTTTTCCTAAATCTTGCAACTCCTGCAATAATTAGGTTTATCAGAAAAAAAAAGTGTTAAACATTAAATATCTTCTTTTTTTTAAACCACTTCAGCCCAAGAAGAAAAATAAAACTTTGTGTGTTAATAAGATTTTGCTGTCATACCTGTCTTATAGTGAAAGAATCAAAATATTGGAAGAAAAAAAAACAGTCTCTCTCCGCAGAATGGCTAGTTGCCTACCAACAGTTTGACACACTGTAGCTCCTGTGACAACCTCCTGGGGGTCAGGTAAAACCACACTCGTGAATGAACAGTGCTCAGCCCTGTGGGAAAAACCACTAGCTTCAGAGCGAAAGGCAAATGGCTTGACCACTTTGTTGTGAGGATCCCTCACATTTTAAATACAGTTGAGTCCACTTAACTCGAACTCGGATAAGTTGGAATTTTGGTTAAGTCGACATGACCAGCTTAGTCCCGGCAATTTTCTCTATTGCATGTACTGTCTGGATAAGTAGAAGTCCTGATAAGTGGAAGTAACGTGGACTCGATTGTATAATTAACAGCCAAAAAAAAATAGAGGGAACTGACAGTGTGCCAAAATCACTAATGTGAAGCTTTTGGAGAGAGCTAAACAAATACCAGCAAATCAAAAGGTGAGGAAAAGATGTGCTAGATAGGAAACGCTGAGAAAATTTGGTAGCTATATAATTATAATGTGCCTGTAGTGGAACCCTCAGCCTGGTAATTTCCTTGCAGGTCTGCGTGCCCTGGCACGAATATGAAACTGTTATTTGTCAGCCCCACCTCCTCAAAGGCTCCAACCTCTGTCTTCAGACCCAGTCTATCGCTGAGTTATGAGCTGGATTATCTTCACACCATTCCAGACACATCCATAGGTGCCCAGATTCCCCTTTCAACATATTCACTTGTGTCAGAAGGTTAAGAGTGCCAGTACTACGCTGGTCTACAAGACTTCTTTTACTTCAGGTGTGTCTCTCATGCTGTGTCGATCTTTATTCTCAATTCTAGTATTTTTGACAGTGATGTGGACATGCTTCCAAAATCCTCAGAACGTCCTATCTCTCTAATGGCATTAACAATGTCGCCGTGATCCAGGTGTCGGCCATCTGCAACTTATGCAGAACCAACCAGTCTTTCAGCTATTTTGTTGCTAACAACATCTGTATACCCTGGGACAAATATAAAGAGAAGATAACTGCACACACAGTAGAGTTTTGCAATGACTCCATTAGTAATGAATGTAGCCTGCCGCGACCCATAGAATCATGCTCACAGAATCACTCAGCACACACTCGGGAATAGTCTTGTGATTCCAGCTACATAAAAGCTTGTTTCATGGCCACCACCTTCATCATCATGCTGCTGGTAGTCATGGAGAAGGTACCACTGGCTTCTGTCTGCAAAGCGAGCTGTAAATGCCCATGTACTCTTATGTCACAGTGTAACGGACCCGTCTGTGTAGATCAGCACATCTGACTTGTCACTGATAAGTGCCCAGACCTCAGCGCTGACAGGGACGGGATTATGTTCCCGACAAATCCTATCAAGCGTGACGGCACAGGAGACAGTGCAAATGAGTACCTTAGGCACTGGTATCAATTTCTCGTGAAGGGTGGATGTCTGGAAGGCTACAGATCTGGTTGATATCATCCTCTGCCCTAACCACCCATGATTTGCCCCTTTTTAGTCCTGAAAATCTTGTGGTAAAAAGGGTGCTTCAGATTGGAGCTTATTTTCAGGTATGTGTGAGCCCTCTAAATCTTAATCCTGTAGCTCATAGTAAGGAAGTCAAGAAATTATCTCACTAATTCAGAAGTGGTGTCACTGTTGCACCACAGAATAATGTACATGGCTTTATTTTGCACCCTTTCGAGTCTTTCAGTCTGAGTGTGGCTAAGAGTGAGAATGACCAAAGCATATTCAATGGAATAAGTCCCTGGAATGGAAGAAGCAGCCTGAGCTCAATACTGGCAGCAGATAGGACCCTTATTGCTGACAGGCCTTTGCAAGCTTTTATTATGACATGCATGGTCAACAAGTTCTTTGAAGGAAGGATAGACTGATAAAACTTCAATCACAGACATGTCATCGGGTTAGCTCTCGTCAAAGCTTCATCACTGCTTCCACTACTGTTAAGTCTGCCTTCACTATATGCATGTTTAGGGGGAAGCTCATTACTGAGGCTGTTGAAAGGTTGACACTACATTAGAACCTACACACCTGGAGGAGATGTGATCAAGTTCACTCTGCACTGAATTGGCAATCTCCTGACAATCTCTTCCATGTTGGTATACCAAGACACAGCAAATGACAACGTTCTGCCACTCCTGTGCAGTGCTGCTCAGTTATCTGCACTGTATGCACACTGAATAGAACTGGAGACAGCGGAGAACCTTGAAGGCAATCCTGGACATATGATTATCGATTGAGGACCACCAACCACACCTGAGAATCAACTATCTCTGGAACAGAACAGTCTGGGATGAACACGACTGGCATAAGTCAGTATTTGACTGTACTGTCAGTCACTTCAAATAATCTACTTAAACCATTTCATTTTCAAATAACAAATCCAACAATATTTATTAATTTTATTTCATGTTTACTGAACATGTCTCAGCCGCATACAGCTATACCTAAAAACTGTTAAGAACAGAAAACTCTGGTGAACAGAACACGACAGCTGACCACAAGCTTAACTCAAAAGTGAAAGTGGTCAGTCAGTCAGTCACCACTGACTGACTCAGTGTCAAATCAAATTACACAATTTGATTAGCCGTACATCTCATTTAAACACAGTAAAGTAATGTTAGTAGTCAATAATTACACATATTGTACAGTGAGATTATACGACTGATCAAAGAATTCAATTCCTGTTACCATCTAACTAAAAACTTTTAGTTTTTCGTTGATCATCCATGTTCCCCTTGCAATCACAAGCACCAACTATGGCGTCGTCTAGAAACGTCAAACTACCAAATTTTCAACACATAAGAAACAACAAAACGGAAATAACTAATATGTTATCTCTCAGACTAAAATACAAAATAGGAATACAATATCCTAAAGAGCAAATTCACAACTGTTAACTACCTTTTTAATCCTCTTTTGTGCCATGTTTTACTGAAGGAAATTAGATTGTTCGTCTCAGTTCAGCCAGTGGTAGTCATCAACTCGGAAGTACATTCAGGGTCACGGGCATGCGCTGAAGGACCTCAGGATCAGGCATGGGTGGGCGCGGTTGAAAGTTTGTAGGCAATTTATTATAAGCTCAAATGTCAACAGGATATAAATATAATTTTGATGAATATACTATTTTACTGTATGTTGATCTTTGTCTTGTATTCTTAAGTATAAAGTAATGTGTTCTTGTTAATAAAACAAGGAAAATATCGGGCATGAGTGAGCGGTGTTCAACACTTGAATAGGTTAGGTTAGTTGCGTATCCTTTACAGGACGTTGCAGAACCAACCCCAACAGCGCCTGGAAATTGTGAACGTTTGTTTAAACAAAAAATTGACTTTCGTTCAACCTTCTTTTGCAAAACCTTGGTTATAAATGTGGGTTTTCTTGCGCCATATTTAACGGTTTAGTACCCCTGGATGACTTGAATGTTGGTGATTGTCCTTTGTTCCTATCTTTGTATGACTCCTTTCGACTATCGATCAGATTGTCCCTTCTGTGCTGCTACCTAACTGTTTACCATACTATCCTGATATGTAAAAAAATATATCTGGACAGCAACCACACAAAGCAGATCCTTGATACCCAGTTCAACCTAAAAAAAGTTACAATAAGGCATCCGTAACGGTTACACTAGCCATGTGGAAACTGCAGCGTAATTAGTGAGATTTATCATTACATCGCTCAGGGCACGTTCATATGTGCTCCGGTCTCCTCCTCAGAAGCTCCACAAACGTAACAAGATTATGACGCCTGTCCTGTTTTAAATAATCAAACGTCTTGTTCCCTTAGTGAAATAGACATGTCTTGCAGCTCCAGGCTGCACCCCATGTACTTCAGCAGGGAAAGGGATGCGGAGTCAAGCTCTTTTCCGTCCTCGTCTTCGCGGTAAGTGTTCGACATAGCATTGATTACGTCGTTTTTTGTCCGGTACCGGACCATCCATAGCAACCAAGTGTCTGCAATTTGATCTGTAAGCTCCTTGTCTCGAACACCTCCATGCCAGACACAAAGATCAAAGTTAGGCCAACCATTTGCGACGTGCTTAGTCTTAATCGGCACTCGATGGGTGATGTGGTCAGCATATCTTTAACCCTCTTTACCTCCAACAAATTTATCTATTTCAGGCTGGGCCGAACTGGGTTTGAGCCTACGACCTTGGCATTTGCAGGCGAGCCTCTAGCCGCCTCACCACTGCGGCTCACTTGGTGGTGAGTACCGGCATATTTTTAGACATTTTGTGGTGAGCACTGGCACTTCTTTTACAGTAAAAAGGCCATTGATACTACTATGTATATAAGTTCATCTGTGTGATAATGGGTAACGTAGAGAGGATCGACTTCATTGCCCCGGGTTTTAATCTCTATAGCGCAAAATCTCTCCGCAAAACGACTAGCCGCCTGACGAGAGGATAACACAAAACAAGAACTCCATAGCTCCGGCAATCACCAGGAATATCAGTAAAAATTACACTCGTGAACCGAACGCAGCCTTGAAGCGAACTTTCGACGGCGTTCAGAGCGCAGGGCGACAGATTGGCCACGAAGACTTAGCTTTGCAAGTAGCGCGCCAGTCTCATAATCAGCTTATGTGATGTGCGTGGTTAGTATAGGACAGGCTTATTCAACTACGTTGACTCTGGGGACGACATTTGGAAACAAGGGATCTTCACGGGCCATAGGCTCAAGCCCCAGCGTCGAAAGATCATTAATATAATACAACTAGCAATGATCTGCAGGCCGCTTGTTAGGCTTCCGGGAGCCAGACTTGACCCGCGGGCTTCCAGTTGAATAGCCCTGGTATAATGTGTTCCCAGCGTTGTTGATAGCACGTTAAACGTCAGGTGACACTTGCCATGCGCGTCCTGTCTCGGATTCTAGTCGGGGAATTATAGAAAAGCCGCATACTCCCCGATGTACAGGGCACCAAGTCCAAGTCCTTTTGAGAGAAAAAAAGAAAAGCTCGACCACGTTCAGACTGCTGCTAGCTAGCCTATACAGGGCACCGAGGCTGAAGGGCTTTTATACTCACATCACAGAGCCACATTAACTGTGCTCAGGTGCATCTGGTTCAGGAAAAAAAATATGGCGCACATAACCTAGTCACAATTATAACCTACCCCCACTCCCCCCCCCCCTCCCCTTTAGGAATACTGGTTGAACGTGACTATTTGTTTTTCTTAGCAAATCAACGAATAAGCGTCACGAGAGCAGACACATCGTAGGAGTCGACTAATTGGGGACTTCTTTCGAAGTCGGAGTGCGTCTGCCCGAGTGGCAAGATGGATTTTTCTTAAAGGAGCGCACGGAATCTAAGCTCCTGTGTTCTGGTGCCCTCGTAAGCAACTATACATAAGTTGCTTCAGTCGCTATCTCTCTCTGCTACTTCCACGTGTGCCTATCAATACTTATTAACTTATATCCCGTTGAAACATCTACTTTAGTCAACGCGAAAGTATAAATACTTCCTATGGAGTGTATCGCAACAAGCAACTGCACACAAAAAAGCCAGTAAAACGGATGTACACGCAAAATTCAGGCTCTGGCACAAAGGAAAAGTCCAAATGCACTAACAACCAGGACTTTCCGCCGGAGCTTACATCCGCTGAGCATTAAAAAAAAAAAAGAAGCAGAAGAAGTCATGAGAGTTGTGTAGTACAAAAATTCAGTCACTGAAATTATAAACGAGCTATTAGAAATTACGAATCGCTTTTGTTACTCCTGAGCCTCAGATGCCACCTATGTGGCGGTTATGATTTGCTTCTATTTGCAGCAAGCAGAATATCAGAAAAGATAATCAGGTTTCTTGCGACATACAAGGTCCGAAAATTAAGTAATGAGACTAATTCCATAAAAATTGAAATAATGTACCTGTATTTTTTATTTAAAGTAAGCCCCTTGTGCAGAGATTCAGTGAGTAGCACAATCTAACAAACACCGGAACGACCTCTGTAGCTCTTCTGTTGCTATGGCCCTTAAAGTGGATGTTACGGCCCTTTGGATATCACCAATATCGTCAAAGAAGCGTCCTTTCAATAGTAACTTTAATTTTGGAAATATAAAATAATCACAAGGAAACAAATCTGGCGAATAGGGTGGATGGCTGAGAACACACACTTGTTTTGGGGCCAACAAATCGTGTTTTAATGATGTCTCGAGGGTACTTAACCCGCTGATGTTTGTTGTCATCAGACAACGAATGCGGTACAAACCTGCAAACAACTTTTTTCTTGCCAAAATCTTGCACTAAAATTTTACAAAGGGTCTCTCTATTAACACCAGATTTATCTGCCATCACCCTGACACTAAAACAACGATTTTCTTGAATACATTCTGTGACTTTTGCAATGAGCTTATCATTACAAACATAATTTGGGCGTCCAGGTATAGCTGCATTAGTAATAATTTCCACACTACTTTTGAATCGTGAATACCACCTGAAAATATGTGCACCAGATACAACAATTATCCCCATAAACTTGTCGCATAAATTCAACTGTCTCAAAAGGGCTTTTTCAGAGTTTGAAACCGAATTTAATGTTAGCTTTTTGCTCCATGCTGATTTCGTAACAAAGCACATCTAACTAGATCAATAAAACGGCAGCTTGCTTGTCGTCTGCTTATCAGGCGGCGATGCAAAACTGCCAGGTCATAGATGAAGGTTGCCTCTTTGGATTTCATGGTTTGCTTCATGGATGGTACTTTTGTATTGGTCGTAATAAAATCAGTCTCATTACTTAATTGTTGGACCTCGTATGTCTTGATTATTCCTTGCCGCCCATATTTTTAAGTTCCTAAGTTGTCATGTACTTGAGTTGCAGATTTCGGGCTTTACCTGAATTACCACAAAACATGGGTTATTTTTTCGGTGGGGTAGGCTGGAGGAGGGGGGGGGGGCAGTCCTAATGGAAGCATAATGCGAATTGTAGGGACCGATGTTTTGCAATCTCTTGTACCAACGTCTACCGTTTATACAAGCTGTGGACCTTGCTGATCTCCTGCAAGTTTGGTTTCTATCCCTAGAAGTCCCCATGTTCTTATGTTTGTTCCAGGGACCCATTAAAAAGGCATGTCGTAAAAGGTAACTAACTAAGGAAGAATACTCGAAGTGGGAAATGTGTGTGTGTGTGCGCGCGCGCGTGCCCTCCCCCCCCCCCCACCTCCCTCTCCTGCACCCCAACCGTCATAGGAACTATGACCTCACTCAAGATCTTTGAAGTCGTCAGTGTACTGAGTCAGGGGGCGCACCGGAAACCATGGTTTCGGACAACTCTAGCTTTCTAAGTGAATGCGTATAAACCGTTGAATAACCTCCAATTAGAATGTCTTCTTGCCATCCTCTAACCTTTAAATAGACACTAACTAACATAAGCACAAATAAGTAATGTTTGTTGTTATTTAAACACACCTTCGTGTTCCGTTCCTACCTACAACATATAAGTGTACATAGGCATTTATTTTCTAGGGGAAAAAAGGAGGGAGGTACTCACCACAAAGTGCCTAAAAGAGTGCTGGTACTCACTACAAAATGTCTATTACGTGCAGTGGATGGCATGCTTGCCTTCCGTCCTGATAGTCTTATGTTCGAATGTCTTCGAGGGGGTGCATTCAATTTATGTGAGGTGGAGAAAGATGTTTGGCTCAGTGGTTGATCACGCTTGCTTGCCACCCTGAAGCTTGTTGTTGTTCTTCATCTTCGTCACCAGTCCTGTTCTGTCTTGCAGCTTCAGATTTTGAAGATATATCGGGAGCGAGCCTTACTTTGTGCTACGTAGTTGCTGGTATTTACAGCCTTTAATATATTCATAACTTTAGTGCTAAATGTACTGAAACTACCCCTTCACCCCCCCCCCCCCCAACAAACATATGCCCCAATGAGTCATAGTTTGGTGACATTTGTATAGGATAATTTCATGATGGCAGCTAAGTCAGTAA